ACTTATTACCCTATAAATTTGCGGTACATTCGTGGACCATTGGGTACACCATTAAAACTTAGCTCAAGTGGTGTCCCTCAAGAATAGAGCCTGTAGAGAAGGTGTCCCCCTAAAAACGTATCTGCCGAAAGTACAGGGTGTCCTCCAAAAGTACAAGTATGTTTCCTGATTTGACCAGTGGATTTGACCAGGATTTGCCTGATCTCACCACGTAAATGGAGCGCTAAGTCAGTCAGGCCAGATTATGTAACAAATTGAATACACCACGAATATTTGATGTTAAAAACGCCCCCCTTTCATAATGCTAACCAAATCTGGAATCCAGGGTATTATTGCAAGATGTGACGACCTATACATTAGATTAGAACTCGGCCACCCATACGAAGGGTACAGTGGACACAAAAAAACAATGATCAAACTACAGAATTCACCAAATCCTTTTTCAAATTAAATAAATCATGAACAATGATGATATATCACGAGTGTAACTTACTGTAAATCTATTTACATTTTCTAAAACTCTTGATCATGTATCATGTAGGAATAGTCTTTTTAAGTTTTTACAATTCACATTGAATTGAAGTTAACGAACTAAAAAGTGTCACAGTTTCTACTGCGTTAGAACAACCACACTAAAGGCTCAACAGGAAGAACGAAGGATGCATCGTCTTAAAAATTCAACGTCTACTGTCTTGCGTACCAATGTTCTTCGGGATGACAGATTTCACTACAAACATTATCTCTTATTTATCATATTTAAGGCTATGTTAAGGTCCTCACCCACTCATCGCAAAAACTTACTCGCAAGCTCGCTGCGATTAGTTTCGTCCAATCACAATGCTTGTCAGTCTATTTTAATTAGATGCAAGAACTCGCAGCGATCTTGCGAGTTGATTTTACGATGAGTGGAAAAGAAGCCTTACACGGTGCAATTTTTCCTGCAATTTGCAATGCAATTCTACTTTTGAGAGATGTAAATTTGGCCACTACGAAACTTTTATGTTTATTACACTCCATGTACGTTTCTTACACTTACATTTTGAATACTCTGCACTAAATTACATCTCTTAAAAATAGGGTTGCATTGAAAGTTGCAAGAAAAATTGCACCGTGTAACATGGCCTTTACTCTCGAACCATTCTCGGGAACTTTAAGAGGAAAGACAATGAAACAAAATGTTTTCTACATTTCTTCTTGAATGCCTGAATACTCAGCCTGTGGTCACCCGCGGTCCATTCTGACCTCAATTTCACGCCCGTCCATCATCGTACCATTGAAAGAGGCTGGAGAAAAAGTTAAGGATGAACATCTCAACATTAAACTTTACGTTCCTCGAACCACGCGAGGGTCATCTCTTCCCGCAAAACATGAAGATTGTATTCAGTTTCTATGCATAGATCAGTGCCTAACAATAGGAAGCGCGCAAAGGTGCTTGGGAAGGACTGAAGTTAAAACCTACCCAAGCACCACCGCGTGCTCGCCCTTCCTGGTTACTGATCTCTATATAGCAGCTGAATGCAACCTTGTAGATTGTAGAATAGGTCATGATTTAAAAGATACAGACTGCACGAGCAGCTTCTTCTTCGGACTCAAACAAAACGGTTCCACAACCCTTGGATCTCTTGCTGTCATCCATTAAAACATCTGCCCGAACAACACGACCTATGAAAATAAAACATACCCATCAATTCACAATTTGCATCAAATATTAAAAGTTCTGAACTAAATAGGTTTATATTTCCTGAAGTAAAGGGCCAAGTAAAGATCATCTCTTATTGATCCAGTGTTACCACAGGAGGAAACCTTTGCTATTTTTACCTGCTTCTCTGAACTTGTCTTTTAAATCTTGCCAGGTCACTTTCCAAGGAAGCTGGAAAACAACACAAGATGATTCATGATATACACATAACCAACTCAAAACAGCCCTCATCAACCCCCACACCCACAAACAAAAGAGAGCCAAACAGGAGTGACTAAGAGATGCCACTTACATTGCGCACAAACACTTGCTTTGCTGGATCACCCTTGTTTTGTTGCTGTTGTGTATCGGTTCCTGCAAACGAGCCCTGAAAGCCACCATAACCTTGCATACCATACAACTGTTGCATCCAGAGAGCGTAGGGGTTACTAGCTCCACCAACCATGTTACCATTAGCAGTGTTCATTGAACTGGCATTTGGAAAAGCTGCTGAACTCAACGATGAAGTATCAGCCTGTGAACTTTGCAGAGAACTGGTGCCCGACCCAGTGCCAAGATTCATCCCTGCCGAACCGAAGCCTGCCAAGCCACTGAGGCCAGCCATGTTACCTAGACCTGCCATGCTACCCAATCCAGACATATTGTTCATCTGACTTTGCAAGTTCTGAAGTTGAAGCAAAGCCAAAGGATTGATTCCCCCACCTAGGCCACCCATATTGCTCAAACCTGCTAAACTTGTCAAACTGGACAAGCTAGGCATGTTTGATTGCAGGCCAGCTGCAGCTGACAAACTTGAAGTGCTTTTCCCACCATCATGACCACCAAACAGGCTAAAGAATGGCGACTCACGGTCCTAAACAAATGCACAATACATTCTTCAATGAAGCAGAGATTTCACCTTCTTCAATCCTGTGCCTAATGCCAGTAAATTTTACTTCTTAATAGGAAAGTACTGCAATTTATTGGGTTATCAGCTGTGTATTCACGAACATGTCAAAAAATTATGTTTTAAACAGAATTGTTCTGGTGATGACTTACCAGTCGAACATTCATTGACCTGTCGTAAATGGATTTACCATTCATGATAACTATACTCAAGTTAAGGCTTTCAAACCAAAGTAAACAAAAAATAGGTTAGCTTACTCGTCATTCTCCAAGGTTATGTATACAGAACTGGCGATATACTCTGAGTCACTGTCTTACTTTCGACTGCCACTGCCCACTGGGAGCTTAGAAATATCATTATTTAACTATTTAACTAGTCTTGGTGGGACCTCTTGTTCAAGGGCCACAGTAATTGGCGTAAGCTGTAGCGTATACCCTGCCATGTAATTGTATATCATTTGTGCTTATTATTGTACTATACTTTTGTGTATATCTGGCAAAGTATAATAAATAAAATAAATTCCAGAATGCTCTTTGTAGCCCACAAACATATCAGTCATGGTTGGCATTGTGTTATATTGCTTCATTATACGTTTAGAAAGGATACAGACAGCATTAATTGCTTCTAAAGGTGTCTCGAACTGCACAGTGCCATGACCTTTTGACTTCTTGTCATTATCTTCTGCAACATCAGCTCGTACAACTCTTCCTGAAAAGAAAAAAAGAAAGTAGGATCATTCTTTTTTCTATGCACATGAGCTTAGACAAAATCCATTTTTAAAAATTTTACCTGCAGCCTTGAATGTATCTTTTAACTTTGCCCATGTTACTCTGTAATCAAGCTAGAAAAGATACAAAAAAATACAAGTTTGTAGATAAAAAATGAAAGATTTGTACAGCCTTTACTTTACTTCACTTGAACAGACCGCAACCATTGATCTGTTTACACCCTGAATATAGTAACAACTTAGAGAAGAGAAAAAATACTAAGAACTTACTGACTGAGAGTGAGGTCTGTACGGTAAAATATCAAACCGAGGTCGTGCCGTATTGACCGAGCGATAGCGAGGTCAATACACCAAGACCGAGGTTTGATATTTTACCGTACAGACCGAACAGTCGAAGTTAGTAAGTTTTTTATTATATGGCATTTTTCATGCAAACATTGTAATGATTAATTCTTTATGAGTAATTTTAATGATCAGTCTCATCTGGGCACACGACACCAAAACATCGGCCTAAAGTGAAAAAAACCGCTTTATTTTGAATCTCACTCTATTTATATAAATTTATTATTTTTATTTCAAATTCATTATTTTCCGTTTAAGAATTTAATCTGTTTTTCAGTTTAAATTTAGTTAGTTTTTGCCGTGAGTTTTGCCTTGTTTTCACAGGGCAATAAGAAGCGCTTGCACCAAAACAAGCGCTTGCCATATAATAATAGATCTTATTGCTAGCAATATTGAAATAGTTACACACTCAGAAAGACGCTTCCAAGGGGTTTGCATGATGTTTGGTCCCAAACTTGAATTCACACCTAAATTTGCAGCTTCTCAGGACTAGGCTAAGTTTGTACCCCCCCACCTTGACCCCCACCTCCATACCCCCACCTCCATACCCCCTCATCCCCCACCTTAACACCCCCCTTATCCCCCACACTCCCCTCATCCCCCACCTCCACACTCCCCTCATCCCTCACCTCCACACCCCCTTATCCCCCACACTCCCCTCATCCCCACACTCCCCCTCCCCCACACTCCCCTCATCCCCCACACTCCCCTCATCCCCCACACTCCCCTCATCCCCCACCCCTGGTCTACAACGTACATTGCTGACAAACACAGAACAGGAAGCGGCGTCCGATTTGGAACTCATTTGTTGTAGAAGACCAAGTTGCCCGAGACCCAGCATGCTCAATCCTGCAACACTGCCAAGGTTACCAGATGAACTACTGCTGTCTCTATCACGACTGCTTCTCTCACGAGGTCTTCGTGGTCGCTCGTCTCGATCTTGGTGATCCTGCAAGAAAAATTGTTATTTTTGATCATGCAAAGAAAATTTGCTATTTTTATAAAACCTGAAGGTCTGCCACAGGGTTGCGGAGATCATTTTCTCCTAACCTCTCGTATTTTCATCAGTCGTCCTCCAAGATTAGTATCATTCAACTCTCGTATTGCCCTCTGCGCATCTTCTGATGATGTAAACTCAACAACACTGAACAACAAAATAGCACTTGTAAAACATTACGTACAATATGGACTTAGATAGCACAATATCTCGTAAAAATATGAGGAAGTTTTACTTACCCACAGCCCTAGAAATAAAAAGAAAAACAAATGTCAACATAATAGATATTTGCGAAAACATACTTGCTACAATGAGTAGTGTTTACAAGGATTAATTAGCCTTTCTCACAATGACGAATATGCCGCCATTTTTGGGGGACTTTTTTCAAAAACCGTGAGCGTAAGACTTGGTAACGGCGACTGTCTTTAATTTTAGGCTGAATTTATTCTTCAAATGGTCTGTTTATTCTAAAAAAATTGCTTTTGATGTTTACACATAATTTTCAAACCCATTTCAGAAAATTGAAAGTACCCCAAAACGTCATCATGAGAAAGGCTAATTGAAGCATATATTCACAAATTATGAAACCGGAAACAGTTACTTCTACCAAAGTATCCAAATGTCAAATTTTTCAAAACTGGACTGTTGAAAATGCTCACTTAACAACATTCATACTTTCCAGCCTGTACCAGATGCTGTTTTCCACTCAACTTTAAATAAAATGCTACATACAAATTACAGAATAACAGCTCAACAAAGGAAACACAATTTCTCACATCCAAAACTAGCCTGAATTTGAAAATTTTGAAGCATTCTTCCCTGACATTTATTGAAACTAGAATATCTACCAAAAATGCAACATTTACCAACTGAATTGGTGAATTTCATTGTGAGCAAGGAACATTTTTCCCAACAAACGAAATCAGGAAAACAAGCTAAGTGCACCTATGAAGGTTTTTCGGCTCCATTTTCACCAAACACCCCCAGTTCATTCCCAACTAACCTTGGACCGTCCTGAAGAATCCTCCATAATTTCAGCAAAAACAACATCGCCAACTACACAACGAATTCAACTGAGCTTTTTAACCAATAACAGCCAACATTTCTCCATATGATATACAAAACCCCCTGTCATATGACTAAAGTGCTTGCTGAGGCCTCAGGAAATGACTTGGAAAATATCATATTATTGTCAACTGTCAAGGCCAAATTAACCTAGCACTTTTTTTTGTCAGAGAGAATTTCACTAAATGAAATACCAAGGTTTTTCTGAACAAAGCCCATTGCATTGTTAAGAGCATCAATTTGAATGCTGCATTGTATTATGATCTGGAATAATCTGGGTATTATATTTGCTCAAGAATTTCTTTCCACATCAATATAGATTATAGATTTGCATATGGAAAATTGTGATTGCCACAAATCCTTAATTCCAGAATTTAATGGAGAAAAAACTAAAGGAAATAAACAAATTATGTAGACATACATTAACACCACCTGCTTGTTTCCTGAAAATCACTCAACTTAATCCAGTTACAAGAGATTATTGTTAGAATTTGACAACCGAGCATAGAAGCCATTTATATACAAAAAGCTCAAATTTTAGCCTCAAAATAAAAAAAAAAACAAACTTCTCGCTCAAATTTACGCCAAACACAACCCCCTTAAACGAACTTTTCTTCAAACGCGACAATTTCAAGATCGAGAGTACAAATCGTGTGAAAATTCAAAAGGAAACTGCAGCATTTTTAGGTTATTAACAGGTTGATTTGCTTTCGTTTTTCAGACAACGCTGCCCTGGAAAAACACAAAAATCTTACATACCTTTCTTCATGTGATCTTTGAGGTCTTGCCATTTTAAAGAAAAGGGTAAGTTATACACGTAAACGCGATTCTCTCGTTTGTTTAATCTCGATTCACGATCAGATTTCGAAGTGCTGTAAGGTTGATAACGATGCGAGTGAGAGGAATCCAAATTGCGTTCCCTCTCAAAATTACTACGATGAAACTCTCTTTCATTGCTCGTTTCCCGGTCATCTCCACGGCCATGTTCTTCGTTCTCAATCTGCCGTGCAATTTCTTTAAATTTCTCAACGCTATCCGACATAAGATTGTCTCTTTCCGACTGATAAGACATGATATATTTCGATGAAGTTGCCTTTGAAATGCACGCTTTCTTGTTGATGGAGACAAACGATGGATTGTCAGGGTTAACAGGGGCACTGACAAAGGTCAGGGGTTAGCATGGTTACATAGGAATTGGACGCAGTAAATAGGGTGATAAAACAGAATTGATGGATCATTGGAGCTGTAAAGGGTTATATTTCGTTATATCACTGGGTAACAAGGGACAGAAATAGGATTTTGTTTCATAAAGAGTGCAATTATCTTCTTTTGATAGATGCAAACGAGCGAATAGTTATGAATGCTTTGTTGTACAAGTGCCCTTATCTACGAGTCTCCCAAACTAATGCACTCGTTCACATCTATCAGAGAGTGAAAACTGGCCTGTAAGAAACTGGGACCAGTGACGTGGACTAAATAGGATAAAACAGGATTCATCGTGGGTTTTTTATGGTTAAATAGGTTCAGAAGGATATCAAATGACAAAAAGTTCAGGTTGAATCAATTGGGGACAGGTTTGGTCACTTTTCTGTCCTAAATTTATTTCTAATTATATTAAATAAAAGCAAGACAAAACTAAAACACCTAATATCGCCTTGGGCCTCGCCAAGGCATACACAATGCAGTTTACTTTTCTGCACCTCTTTTCGCAATACCGTATTCAATCTTAAGTTAGATTTGTCCGTGTGTGGAGCACCCGACGTTTTTAGGGAAAGCTAGCCTGACTAGCCTGATTTATGTTGAAGATAAACAGTCAATCACAGCGAAAAAATGGCGCCAAGATTGGTTTATCTTCCTCCATTATTAAAATAACAGCAGATTGATAATACAAAATTCCCTCCCTAAAAAGCTTTTTTTCGCCTAGCCCCCAATTCTTAGCTTTTGAAAGGGTGCTTGCGGACTATTATAAATACGAGATCTCTGTGCTTCAAGTGCTTTTGTACACGTGCTTACATTTAAATCAGTTTTCAAACTGTCATTGACAAAACCTAGCCAATCACGAACGGTGAATGAAATATAGTCTTTGACGGCCGGTCCTTATAAAATTTTAGAAATTTTGCTGACGTCGTTTTTTCGCCTCCATCGCGTCTAGTATAGGCTGTCGTTTTCCCTGATAGCGCTTACGCAAAGAATCGATTTCTTTTTCCATTTCAGAATCGAGTGAGTTCATTCTGGACAAAAGTTCGTCGAAGGATAAACTTCTTAACTAAAAAGGATTTAAATATAATATACTTTTAAACTTTGTGGACTAACATTATTTATACTAACTGGATAGCTCTATCACTTCTAAAGTCTTCTTAGAGGTCCAGTAAGGATCATCTCTTATTGATCCAGTGTTACTACAGGAGAAAACCTAAACTAAACTAACTTTATTTATACTGGATAGCTCTATCAGTTCTAAACTGTTCTTCCTAGAGGTCCAGTAAGGATCATCTCTTATTGATCCAGTGTTACTACAGGAGGAAACCTAAACTAACTTTATTTATACTGGATAGCTCTATCAGTTCTAAACTGTTCTTCCTAGAGGTCCAGTAAGGATCATCTCTTATTGATCCAGTGTTACTACAGGAGGAAACCTAAACTAAACTAACTTTATTTATACTGGATAGTTCTATCAGTTCTAAACTGTTCTTTCTAAAGGTCCAGTAAGGATCATCTCTTATTGATCCAGTGTTATTACCGGAGGTCCAGTAAGGAACGCCTTGTCAGAAATGATTACTTACAAATTCGAAATCTCCTGGTCCAAATTTCTTTGGCGGACTAAAAGGTGATTCTGCTCTTCTCATGACAACCTGAGAGTTTGTTGAACTATCTGAACCTTTTCTTTCATTGACATGATTAGTTTGTTGTGGTGACTCAAACATCTTATCGAAATGATCCATGAACGATGGCCGATATTCTTCCTTTGATTCTGTCGTGCCTATTCCTGGACGTTGGATAAAGAACTCAAAACATTGCAAAGCAGTAAATACAAGACTAGTCAGACTAGTATTAGTAGCAAGGGTCAACACTCAGTCAGACAACAGTACTGCAATGATGAACTGACATAGAGGAAGGTTGAAAGTGAAACACTGAATAAAACATTGCAAAGCAGTACGTACTAGACTAGTCAGGCTAGTATTAGTAGCAAGGGTCAACACTCAGTCAGACAACAGTACTGCAATGGTCAACTGACATAGAGGAAGGTTGTAAGTGAAACATTGAATAAAACATTGCAAAGCAGCAAGTACTAGACTAGTCAGGCTAGTATTAGTAGCAAGGGTCAACACTCAGTCAGACTAGCAGTATTGCAATAATCAATTGACATTGAGGAAGGTTGGAAGTAAAACACTGAATAAAACATTGCAAAGCAGCAAGTACTAGACTAGTCAGGCAAGCTTTAAAAATCTGGATGAACTTACGTTTCATTGTGCCTTCTTCTTCTTCATCATCATCATCATCATCATTGATTACCATCGTTCCCATACCAGATCTGAGTGTCTCTTGATCACTATTTATCACCATTGTTCCATCACTATCACTATTTATCACCATAGTTCCCTCCTCATTGACAACCATTGTCCCATCAAGTATATCTTTGTTTACAATCATCGTCCCAGACTCTGTTTCAACCTCATCATCATCCTCGTCCTGGGAAACAACATCAATAAAATATTATAATCTATTATAATTTATGGCAAATAGTAAACAGCTATCAACATGGGTACACAATCATCCCTCACCTCGTCATAGTCATTCCCATCAGGAACATCATCTTCATCGTCATCTTTGGGTTCCTGTGCTAATATATCCAGAGCCTCTTTAATCATACCAAGAAGTGTCGTACATGGTCCTGCTTTTCTTATGAATGGATGCTGAAATAAATATGGATTGTCAATATTGAATTGGTTGTTTTAAACTGTTCTTCCTAGAGGTCCAGTAAGGATCATCTCATATTGATCCAGTGTTACTACAGAAGGAAACCTAAACTAAACTAACTTTATTTATACTGGATAGTTCTATCAGTTCTAAACTGTTCTTCCTTCAGGTCCAGTAAGGGATAATGTTTCTACAAAAGGAAACCTAAAGCATTTAGTAATCTCATTAGACATTAAACTAATTCTCACCGTCAATAGCATCTGAGCAGTGACTCTTTGCTCAGGGTTTTTGACTAAACAACTTTTCACAAAGTCTTTAAATTCATCTGACCATTTGTCAGGGTATTTGAAGAATGGTGGTGGCTTTGTTGGGATCATGAATATAGCCTAAAATGGGGAAAAAATGGACCCAAATTTACTTTAATCCATCGACACAAAGAAAGTAATGTAGTTTTTAGCAATTTAAGTCCTCAATTCAACATTATTCTAACATTGAACTTGATAGTAGATAAAGTTATTTCCATCGTTGCAAGAAATGAAGATTGTATAACAGATGAGAGTTCGACAATTTCCGTATGTTCAGGGGCGCCAGAACCACAGGGGCAGCAGGGGCAGTTCCCCCCCTTTGCTACCACATAAAGTATAATAAATTCAACATTTAATGATGATACCCACTTTTCGCATAAAAACTAACTGGTAATATAATTGAAAATGCGTTCCACCATGGATTTGCAAGTTCGCATGTACTTGTAAATTTGAGTTTGGAGTTGCTAAGGTAAAATGAATGTGCCCTTTTCTAAAACTCTGCCCCTGCTGCCCTAAACTGCTTCCAGCGCCCCTGCGTATGTTATATCAAAATAATATTACGCACCCTCATTGGATGAATATCGGCATAAGGTGGTTTGCCCTCAGCCATTTCAATTGCAGTTATGCCCAAAGACCAAATATCCGCTAAACAATCATAACCAATTTCCTGCAAAAGATACCAAACTAAAAGCATAAGTGTCATAACACAATCTAAAACATTATGGCCCAATGAATTTATATCATGGCTTTCGTCATTTCTCATTCAGTAATGAACACCACTCCAGAATGCAATATATAGCACTGTGGTATATTTCCATATTTTCAGAATAGTTCTTATGTGAATTATTTTGAGGAAGAAATTTCTTAAAATTAACTATCCTTCAATACCTGTATAACTTCAGGTGCCATCCAAAATGGTGTCCCAATTACTGTGTTTCTCTTAGCCATTGTATCCTAATAAAAATTAAACAAGAGGTCAACTTATAATCTTCGACACAATTCAATCCAATTCCAACCATCCAGCAAGGTACTGCCAAACTTACAGTGAGTTGTCCAGCAACCCCAAAATCTGCAAGCTTCGCATGTCCTTCAGTATTTAATAAAATATTTCCAGCCTTTATATCCCTGCACAAAAAAAGATGTTTGGATTTATCAATTCAAATATGGTGATGGAAATCAGATAGTTTGTGTCAATGTTTCCATGTTACAGTTAATTTTATAAAACTTTGGCCGCTCCAGTTGCGAACTATGTTTGGACCTGTCAAGTGGGCGGGGAAGTTGTCAATTCTGTTTTGTAGTTCGCAACGAAGTTCCGAAGTTCAAATCGAACTTCGGAATTTCAAATCGAACTTTGCGGGCAATTTGACTAAATCGCTATAAAATGGCCACTATAAAACACCAGGGCAAAGCAATTACAATGCAGTAAAGAAATATATTGTAATTGCTTTGCCCTGGTATTTTATAGTGGCCATTTTATAGAGACTTAGCCAAATTGCCCGCAAAGTTCGATTTGAAATTCCGAAGTTCGATTTGAACTTTGGAACTTCGTTGCTATTAAAAAACGGAATTGACAACTTTCCCACCCACTTGACAGTTTCCAAACATAGTTCGGAACAGGAGCGGCCAAAGTTTTATGAAATCAACTGTAACAAGAACAGAATTTTTGGATGATGTATTGTAAGCATACCTATGAATTTTCCTTCGTAAATGAAGATACTCTAATCCCTTCAAAGCATAACTCAACATACATGCAATCTGATCCTCTGAACACTGAAAGAATTTTTTTCTCATTGTGAGACAGCTGACATAGAATGAATTTCATTTCAAAGCAAAACACAGAAAACTCACAGTTTTATTTCGAAGTTTCATTATGTCTGAGACTGACCCAGCACCACAATATTCCATCACAATCTGAACACACAAATAGACTGTATTCATATTGAAGCTTTGAGGCCATTCTTCCTCATAACAGCTACAACTATAGTTTTTACATGATACTCCAGCAAAACTAATTTAACTTTATGTACGTACTGCAATACTTACCCAGAGGTCAGTATTCTTGAAATAACTGCCATAATATTTCACAACATATGGGCTACAAAATTAATTTGTCAATTTAACATAAAAAAGCAACACTCTATCTTTCCTTTGGACGTCTTTGCAAAGTCCAAACAGCAGTAACAATTAAGGTTCATTACATAGCTCTTGATTGGACAACCCGCGTTGTTTCAACCAATCAAAATCCTGGTTTATAAATCTGTTTTTTCATCTTCAAGAGAAATGTCCAGAGACTCACCTAACACATTGCTGCATCATGCTTATTTCTTTGATAATCTCTTGGAGATCTGTGTCAACTGGAACCTGTTTGATTGCAACAACTTGCCCAGACTCTTTATGCATTGCTTTAAACACAGAGCCATATGAACTGCAAAATACATTGGTTATCAACAATTTATTCAATGTATAATTAAAGTCCAGCATTGACTGGGGAATAGACCTGAATGACGTAAAATGTGGGAGGCAAATGTCATACAAAGTTTGATTGACTTTGCAAAACTGATAACTCAATCAAGCTTTGTGAAACATCAAGCTCTCTGCATTTGACATCATTATGAGAAAGGACCTTCGGGTCTATCTTACATATATACAATACTCCCAGGTTTATTAAAAAAAATAAATTTAAAAAACTAGAGGGAATGAGACAACTCATCTTGAACATTGAAGTTTTTTAGCAAATGTGCCTTATAATTTCAACCCTCAATATTATACTGTACACTTTTTGAGTAAATGGTACATATATTTGGGAAATTGGTTTTAGTTTGGTTTATTAAAACTTTGACACAAAATCTTAATAAAATACGCACACTACAAGCGATATGACAGGAAATGGGATGAAAGGCTACTGGATATTTTTTCTCTATTATAGTCAACAGCTCCAAATATTTTGTAGAAGGTTTTTATGCAGCTGTTACCAGAATAATGAGTAATTTTTATAACAAAGAAAAATGACTTGCAGTTGAAATTTATATTTCAAATAAAAATATAAAACTCAATCACCTTTGTGTGAAGTTTGCACTATAGCTTTTCAATTTGATTTTAATTTATTATCATTAATTACGAGACCACAAATTAAAAAACATTAACTAGCCATTTGCGGCTTAAAGGTACGACTTGAACTGTAAGCTATTTATAGCTTTATGTAAACAAAACATTGCTACCCTGTGTTTGCATGACATTTCTACAAAGAAAAGCACATCGCTGCCATGTATGCACCTATTCTTTCCTGCCGTCTCACCTTGGAAACGGAAGCCGATATTCTTCGAAAGCGTCCGGGGATAAACGCTCGTGAACACATGAAACTTTCACAAGCCATCTTGTCATTAAAGAACTATTAAAATTACAATTTTTTAAAAATTACCCTTCGCCTAGTTTCTCTAAAACATCGAAAACTTCTTCAGGTTGCCTCTGCAAGCTTTCTTCGCTGAGCTTTCGAAGCTCGTTGCTGTTAAATTACAAACAGATACACGTTAAAAAAGCGGAATATAAAATTGTTAACAGAACAACCGGACGGTATAATAGCCCACAAAGAATTCCAACACGTCTCCCAAAACTAGCAGAGAAATTAGGGTCATTTCGTGCGCGATTGATGTAATTTGATAAAAAACTTACCCTTTAGAAGACATGTTTTGTGTATACTGCCTATCAAGGTTATCAGATCATCTCTTCGGGGCAGAAAAACCGAAAAAAACTAGCCATTTGTGTAGGATTTCATTTTTAGACTATAGTCGTCTTCCACCATATTAGTTTGTCGAAAACATTCTAGGAGCTCAATCAGCCAATCAGATCACGTTATTCCATACATGTGACTTCCTGCTTACAGTGAATTCGTGTACCTGCATTATCCATACGTGTCCCGTAATATCCAGCACTGGTATCCAATGATGCACACACAAATACACAAATTTTGCCGAATTGAGGATATTGCCATAATTTAATAGCAAAAAAATTAAAAAGGCAATGAAATTTCTCAAAAATTGTTTGAAAAAAACATTTGCTAATTGCACAAGTTTTAATAAAAAACACGAAAATACTTCGAATCTAAATTTTTGAGCCCTCTGCATAAAAGGAATTTCCAGTTGAATGTCGACTTAATGGGGAAACTTCATGTTGTAGCTTCTACATGTGAAATCTTTCCAATATGGTCGCCGTGAAAATATAAACAAACAACGTTGTTTTCGAGTCTAACTTGTGTAAAAGTCAGTTATCCTTTGATAAAGTTACGCTGGTATGCCTCTAAGATATTAAACTGCGTTGGTGGTGATCTAAAAGTCCGATGAACTCTTAGTGGAAAGAATTAGTATTCTCACAACGTTGAAATCGGAAATCCTACAAACCTGTTGGTAATTATGGTTATTTGCCAGTACTTTCTGAAAGGGACGTGTAAATTTGGCGATCGATGTCGAAACGAGCATCGCAAACAAGGCAAGTTAAAAATTCTTATTTCCATATATTTTCATGGTTACAAGTTCCATTACATCAAACTGCATACAGGGTAATACAGCGTCAATACTCAATAATATAACTTTATTGATCGTATATTCGCAGACAACAGGGGCTCGTATAACCAAGGCGGTCGTAACCAGAGAAATTTTCAGCAAGGTTCCCGTGGCTATAATAATGGTGATCGGTATAGTGATGGCGCCGGTAGGAATACTGGTGGTGGTCATTATGACAAGGGTTCTGGTCATGATGCCAGAGGTTTTGGTGGTAGTTATAATCAAGGTTCCAGGAAAAATTATCAGCAAGATCGAGGGAATTTCAGGGGTGGTCACGGTGGAGGTGGTGGTCACCGTGATGGTGGTGGTTACCGTGATGGTGGTGGTTACCATGATGGTGATCGTTACCGTGATGGTAGTCAGGGCCATGGTTTTGGTGGAAGTCATGGTGGTTACCATGATGGTGATCGTTACAGTGATGGTGGTCATGGCCGGAGTTATGGTGAAAGTCATGGTGGGCGAAACTACAGCAAAGACAGGTACCACTATGATGCCAGAGATAAGGTAGGTGGTATTTAGATCTTGTCATGGTGGTGGAAAGGTAGCTGGTGATGATAATGTGACGGTGATCAAGAGCTCTCCTTTTCACAGAACAGGTTTGCTGCATTAACTCACCAGCCCGAGCCAGAACCACCAAGTTTCCATAGCAACAGACCACAGCGAGGACGAACACATTCAACAACCAGTCAGCACTCAATACCTCTTGATCAGAAAGTGTATGTTATTCACCTATCTTAGAGGCGTGGCAGATGCAGGCTAAGTCAGAATAAATTACACACTCGCCTAATTTTAGGGGCTGTTTACATGAGCCCGGTTACCCGAGATTCAACGAAGCGTGAGATGATTTTGAAGTATTGAAATGAGCAGATAGCATGATCCTGTCAGTCATATAATCACCACAACAATAGCATGTGCTTGTTTGGTGTCATAAAGACTTATTTCAATACTTCAAAGTCCTCTCACGCTTCGTTGAATCTCGGGTAACCGGGCTCATGTAAACAGCCCATTAAATTAAAATGCTTTAATGACAACGCAATTGGTTTTTCATTTTCAACAAATACTTTTACATCAAATCTACCAATATAATAGCAATTTGGAGCTGTAGTAATATACCTATCCTAGATCCTCAACTGTCTTAGAGCATTTGACACATTCTACTTTTATTGGTCCAAGTCTTCAAAGGTTTTGCAATTTTGACATTTTTTAGCGACAGAATAAGGAAAGATATGAAAGACTGGGACGAGAGCGGACAATGGCCATTGTCTTGTTATGCTCCGTTTGTGAACGAGCAATGTTTGAATGGTACGAAATATTTAGTAAACTATTGTCCAGGTGTTTTTTGAGAATATTAAAGCTCGCGTTCAGGTACTACATAGAGATCCGTGACTAGGAGAGCCGAGCACACGTGGGGGACTAGTAACACCCGGTGAACTCTATTTGAACTGGAACGATGACTCGGTTGCAATCTTCGAAGCTGAAAACGAATCGAAGACTCTTGACGGTTTACGACCGCGCAGCAGAGAGAGACTGGCACTGGTCCTCAACTCGGCTTCAAATCGTCTTCAAAGTTGGCGGGAAAATATCCTAGGGCTTTAGTCATCGTTCCAGTGTTTTATAGAGCTCACTGGTACAACCTGAAGTAGCTGAAATTCTGAACACTCCATATTCTTACCTTATTTGCATGAAGGACGGATGTAATAAGCCTTTTTAATGCTACCCACAAGATGGTGTTTCTTTTACTCGCTGTTAAATGCTTGAAAATCAATTTAACTACAGGAATGAAGCCAGCAATATTGAAGTGAATCTCTAAATTGAAAATGCTAAAGTTTAATCTAGGTTACTACACGTTTCTTTGAATAACCCTACCCAGTTTTTGCACAACTGCCCCTAGCCGTTTAACCATGAAAATAATTTCTTGGATAATATTAAGAAACAATTTTTTGTGACTTTTTTCAAGGCTTTCTTGACATCTCTCCAGAGGAGATGAGAAGCGATGCTTATAAAGCAAATATTGATGGAAATGTTGCAGCTTATGTGAGTTTTTCACCGGCCAATTTTAGCGTTGAAGCCGCGAAGTGGATGTTGATTTAAGTAGTTTAAACAATCTCAATTTAAATCCAGGCACAATCACTTCAACAAACCTTGGGAAGGCAAAGACATAGAAGACAAGAATTGGCAACCATCTCATCTTCGACGCTCGTGAGTAGGAACGAAGCATTTCTCGGAGGTTGAGGTCTAGGAAGAACATACGAGTTTCCAGATCCCTAGAGAAAACAGTTTAAAACTCATAGAGCTATCCAGTATAAATAAAGTTAGTTCAGTTTAGGTTTAGTTTAGTTTAGGTAAAGTTAGTTTAACTTAGGTTTCCTCCTGTGGTAATACTGGATCAATAAGAGATGATCCTTACTGGACCTCTAGGAAGAACAGTTTAGAAGTAATAGAGCGATACTAACCCTCACAATTGATATCAAAATTTGCTTTAAACGTAGGAAGAAGATTTATCACGATCATCTCAGGCAGATACTGGAGTTCCTGGTGGATTATTTGGTAACCTGGCGGAGTCCTCAATATTTGGTGAAAATATGTCAACGACGTCAACTAGCATACTAGGACCCAGTCCACAAAGGTGAGCGCATTCGAGACATCAATCAATCGTAATCTAACCCGGCGCTAGTTTCGAATTGTCGACAGCTGAAAATGTTAAAATAATATTTGTTTTTATATTTTAGCATGTTTACTTCAGAGGCAGTTCCCTCAAATCCCCCGACAACCTCTTCTACCCTCTTTGCACCCTCGTCTACTCCCTTTAGATCCGCACAATCCAATAATACCCCGTCGAGTACATCTATGTTTGGTCGACCTGATGGGAACTTATCCAACACTAAAACTTCTACCGATGGGGCTACGCCATCGGTTACAATGACGTCATTACGATGCAGCGAAGAAGACTTGAAGGCATTTAAGGCGGAATATTTTGTAATGGGTGCCATACCTGAATGCCCGCCACCTCTTGAACTTTGTTGACTGATCTATATAATTTAGAATATAAAATTTATATGTATATATTAGACTAACATGTGTATGATATTTAATAAAACAATTCACTTTGAAATCTTTACGACATGATAACGTCCTTTAAAAAATAAGCTGTCATGATTTGTGTCTGAACTACTTGAGAAAGATATCTCAAACGCGGTGGTCCATTGTAGGTAGTATTCTACAATAGCTGTCGTGGTTTGTGTCTGAACTAAATGAGAAAAATGTCTTAAACGTGGTGGTCCAGTGTAGGTAGTATTCTACAATAGCTGTCGTGGTTTGTGTCTGAACTAACTGAGGAAGATATCTCAAACGTGGTGTTCTAGTGTAGGTAGTATTCTACAATAAGCTGTCGTGGTTTGTGTCTGAACTACCTGAGAAAGATATCTCAAACGCGGTGGTCCAGTGTAGGTAGTATTCTACAATAAGCTGTCGTGGTTTGTGTCTGAACTACCTGAGAAAGATATCTCAAACGCGGTGGTTTAATGTAGGCAGAAGTATTATACAATCTTGATAGCCTCGGGCAAACTATGCCCCAGATATCTTTCATTTTTAAGGTAATTGAAAAGTTCTAACCTAGCCCCATGAGAAAAGTACTAACCATGATACCAGCCCCAGTGAGTCAGCTGTGAGTCGGTCGCATTCAAGGAGAGGTAAAGTAGTCCAGATATATAAAGAGTTCCTCCGCGAAGGGCCCTTCTCGAGCTCGTGACGTCACGTGAGGAAGAGAGACCAGCTTGCCATGTGATAACTTCGTGGGGTCCTGTTTAACTTGAAATGATAGAAGTTAAGTTTGTTAGTACACAATCACGACATATCAACAAGATCTCAATGAAAACACCGGACGCTGCCTTCGCACTTTCTTTTAATGCAAACATTGAAATTTTTCATTACATTGAGGAAGTGCTTCAGCGGAAAACGAGGCTTGTTAGGAAAAGTAGATTTCCTTAAATATCCTTTGTGTTTTTATTAGAGCCATGTCAACCGTTTGTGTGACTAAAAATAGTCGCGAGTGTTGAAACTAATGACAGTGCATTAAACGACACAATGAAATGGGATCAAAAAGTCCTACAAATATGCCAACGAAGACTTCTGTTCTATTTCCAAAACAACAAAATCTAATGCCTCAGCTGTAAAGGGCGTCTGGAATGAGTGAAACTGCAAGGTTTGGTTTAAAAAATGTTGTAAAATGTGAAAATTCTAGTCTTGATATATTCGCAAATTTTGTCAGCGCGCAGTACCAACTCCCAATCAGAGCCAAGTTCCTCAAAATCTTGTAATATCTAGCAGCCAAATTTTACAGCTTTACTGGCATTTTTAAGACACTCTCTCTAGCTGTAGTGTTGGACTTTGCGAATAAAATTGAGTCCTCATAATTGGAATCATCGTTTGAGCGTTTTTGGGCCTCAATCAGCGAAGCGTGAATTTGTCTTGAAGACGCATTTCAAACATATTTCCACGAAATGCCCCACTTGAATTGCGCATTTCCTGACGTGTACAAGCGTGTACATTAGTAAAAACCCCCCTCGCAGACCCCACCGAAGACGGCAATATTGTACTCCAGGGACGAAGTGTCAAGAGCGTCCTGAATTGAGTTGGGCGTCTTTGATTGGAAACTTCACACGTCATGTAATTGCCTGTCAGGTTGCTAACAAGGTGTGATTGGACGGGCGGAGCATCGGGACGCGCAGGGGGACACGGTTTCTCGGGTATAAAAATGCGCGTATCAAAAGCTCGGGTCATAGAAACGCTATAAACGACCCCACCGAGTGCGCAACAAGATTAACATTGAAAAAATGTCTTTGGGCTTTAGTGGCTGCTCATCGGACGATGTAGAACGAAGCGCGCACGATTCTTCAGCGGGGTACAAATTGCGCAAACGCTCTCGTGAAACGCGCAGCAAAATGGCTCGGATGGCGCGCGCTATTTGCGAAGACGACGAAGAGGAATACTGGAGTGATTCGAGCGAGGTTAAGGCAGCGAAAAGACCGAGATCGCACGTTCGTGCATCGGCAACAAGGCGAGAAAGAGCTCGAATGCATAAGCTGAACAAGGCGTACGATAAGCTTCGGAAGGTGGTGCCGAAATTGAACTGCGATTCTAACAACGAACGGTTATCGAAAATCGCCACTCTACGCTTAGCCATCGACTACATCGCAATGCTTACCGACTTTTTGGACGGAAAAATGGAAAGCGAAGTTCTGCCACAACACAGCACAGAGAACAGCGGGGACGAAGACACGTCGAGTTCGATTGAAGATGAATCGGACATTTTGGCGAGGCTTATCGATAGCGTGGTCGATGAATTTGGCTGGTTTTTGCCGGGTAGGTCATCTTTAATTTCACCCATTTTACTTGAGATGAATGTCCTTGAACACGAGGAGAAATGCTATTTTGTAAAACTGAATTTTAGCTTTCGGATAAACTGAAATCTCCAGCAAGGTTTTAAGGTTCTTCCGGGTTCAAGAATAAAATACGATCTTGCAAATTCGAAAAATTTGATAGCTTGATGGTTAAATCACACGAAAACTTTACGAAATTTATCTAAATATCAGACTTTCAATGTTCCCAGATTAACAATTCTTTTTTGATGCTCGAAATTTCGATTATTTCAACTTGAAGAGACACGAACGATGTCCTGGTGAACGAATCACGAGGTGACTACCTGTTGTTTTCCACCGAAACAAAACAAGCCTTCTTGTATCCACAGAAGCGGAGAGCTTTCGTTTATTCTGATAGCTTTAAATATGCTGTTTTGTGCTTAATCTAAACGAATAAAACGGGATAGTAGAACATATGCGAAAAAACTCTTGTTAAGGGATAAAAATCATTCTAATACCCCAAGGCAAAACGGTATAACTTGGTTTGGCCTTGCCGAAAATGGTTCTCGAATCGGATATCTTTGAAAAATCCCCTTGAAAACGAGTTTCATTGATGCTTATATGCTTGCAATGAGAGGTATTTAGTAGAGAACTGTTATTAAAAATCGATCGATCATTTCTTGAGGGCTGAATGCGTGAAGAGCGTTGTCTTCTGCCAGCAACGAGAAACGGAATTTTAAACGTATATTGTGCCAGTGTGAACCATATGTCGTGAAACCAAACGATTATACTTCGCATTTAGCAAAAACAAACTTAAAATATGCATCGTTTTCTGCTACGAAACCTTTCCCTTGTAAAGTGTCAGGATACCAGGCTTTTGTGAGCGTGGAAATGAATAAATGTACAATACAATTTGCGAAACAATCGACCTGCGTCTTTCGTCGCTCAACAGAGCAAAACAACAGTAAACACCAGGTCACGCAAAGAAGATCTCTGAATTTCTAGCTGTTTACATTCCTTCTTTGCCTGAAAAACTAGCATTGCACAAGGATACTATGCTTCTGTTTTAGCGTATCTGAAAATATTGTTCTCCGTGATTTTTGTTCTCAAAATTTGAACGAAACATCGCCTCTTGCCGAACGAGAAAAGTACATAGAGCTTATCATGTTTTCTAAACATAGGTGCATGATTCGCATTTTCGTCTCGTCGGCCAAGTTTAACGCCCAAAGGATTGTCTAAGACACCTAATAAAACCTGTGAAAAAACACTCAGCTCTTGGGCAATATCCTGCTAATAGTTTCTACCATTTGAGAGCGTGTTTAGATAAAAAAAAGTTGACAAAATTTCGCTCAAAATATACATTATGTCTTGGGTTTAACCGCGTATTCTCCTAATTTTATCTTGAATTCAATTTCCAACTATGCTGGAAATCGATAGATCAAATATGGGTTGTTTTGTAGCGTTGTTTAAAATAGAACAGCGACCAGATTGGCAGATTACCAGCCTAATACTCCCCGTATTGGAAATCAAAGAATTTCTGGTTGTACAAGCTAATGATAGTCGTACGACATATAATCTTTCCAAGATGTCCAAAACCAGATTATCAGCACTTATTTTCGCGCATCATTTAAGCCGGTCTAAGCTTAAAACTAACAACAGCTTATCGGTGTTCAGTTTTCAGTGAAATCTGTGTCGCTCATATTTGTCTCTGCCCAATTGAACTAGTTAACAGAAGGGAGGTTTAGAATTGCTGGTTTATTTACGCGCAAAAATGTATTTTATATATAATAGTGCTTTTGTCAATGTTCAATGTAAGTGGTCAAATGTTGAGGGTTATATAACTAATGTAAGTGTGTTTCCTTTAGGAGACTACCAGTGATTTTTTCTATCCGAGAAAAGGAGAAATACTCAATCGCAAATTCGAAGACGTCCACAGGATCAGGAGAATATTAAGGCAAATGAAACCAATGGCAATGTGGCAAATTGGACAAAAACGCTGATATGAATTTAAAAAATGTAATCAGTAAAGCAAACTCTGCCCGGAACGTTAGAATGGGGAGATTAAACGCGCAAGTGGTATAGGAAATGACCTGAAAATAATGCAGCCATTGTTTGCAACGGAAATTGTTGAGCAGAATAAGAAAATTCACCCTTCATGTAAAAAAGCAATATTTTGAACTTCGATTTGCAAGCGTGCCGGCGTAATTTATGCTAATTTTGCCATGATGTAATTTATGCTAATTCAGTTCGAAATGCTTTAATTTCCTCGGGAAATCTGTGCCAAATGAAATGAGAATATTTATTGCTTCAGCTGTGTAACTCAAAGTGGACGATGTATTGCAGAAATGAACGTTGTTATTTATAGATTAAACTGTTGTTTCCAGCATATAGAACTTGATGGTAACATCGATATGCGAATGTATATAATGAATAAAATGTAATCAAGAACATGAGGTATTAGCCCTGCTTTTGTTGTTCTACAATCATGAAGCATTCGTTCGATCATTTCGTGACGTGTATCGTAACATTGTGGTCATTGGAGTTAAATGCGATTCTCCCGTTAACCGTTTTGAAAATGTTTGAAAGCCAATAAACTATATAAAAAGAGGTCGCTATAACTTAGATAGGTTGCACGACAAAAAGCAGTCAGTTTAAAGGGTCTTAAAAACTCCATCCGATGGATTGTGATACCCGTGTTTTGTACAGTCGATGCCATGGGCAATAAACGGATTCTCTCGGGGACAGCGCCGTAACTAAAAGGATAATTGGGGGCGGGGGGGGGGTGGTTGTGTGTTTATTCATATATTCAATTCTGCACGACGGATTTCTTTTGTAAGTGCAATAGCTTAGAGTAGAAATCCGTAGCGCAGAACTGAGTACATACATAAACAACCCTCTCCCCAATTACCGTTCTAGTTACGGCCCTTCTCTGGGGCTGTTGAACAAAGGTTTTTGAGGGCCTCTCGTGTTTCCCTTTGGTTTCTAACAGATATGAAAAACGGTGAATCTTTCTGGATTACATACGCATATATCATCTTAATTCCTCAGATAAGAAGGTCAATAATTTCATGCAGCATGCAACGCAATTTATTTAAAAACAATGGCCGACACCTTGTGCCCATTAAGGCATAATCTTGTTACCTTAGCTGTTTGGAAAAGCAATGTCATTATCAAATGTTTGCCAAACAAATGTCTTTCAAACGTACCCTCTCTTCCGTAGCGACAAAAATTAAGTACGGCAATTCAAGACCACTTTGCAAATTTCGCATTAACCCGGGCAACACACGGAAATCTCAGTGGAGGCCAAATAGAGGTTTAATAAAAAGTATAGAGTAAGGTGTTGCAAATACCAGCCAGCACGATATGCCAAATGCTAACTTTGTGCAAAAAACGCGGCCGATTTCTTAACGACGTCGTTATTGCCTGCCAACTTCATAATCCCGAAACGGATTGGAGGATTAGAATTAAGGTCAATTGAACCGTTTCAAATTTGAAAATGATATTTTATCTCATATGTGCAGTTCAAAAACAAACTAGAGCTATCTAATCACGTTGTGTCAGCCTTGCATGAAATAGATACACCAATATTATACAGATTTGCGCATTTTAGCATTAATAAAAACTATAATCGTAAGGTACTTACTTAATAGACGTGATGGTCAGATCATTGTTGACAGTTCTTGATAAAATGACACATTCCCACCAGAAGCAGTCTATTCGAGTTCTTTCAGCTATCCGTTTCTCGTCCTAGTCTGGATCGGCGCGCATCCGCGCAATTTGCATTAATTGCGTAAATACATTCAAGAGGTGGTTTGTGGATAATATGAAAGGCCATCAAGGAATTTACTGCAATTAAAACATGTAAGATTCGTAAATTAGTATGATAAAAGATGTTAAGAGCAAAGCATTTCGTTTTCAAAAGAGGAAAAATCTATGCAGGAAGTTCTCTGTCAGTTCAAAAACACAACAGAGAATATACAGCTTATTCTAGAATACTACCTACACTGGACCACCACGTTTGAGATATCTTTCTCAGGTAGTTCAGGCACAAACCACGACAGTTTATTGTAGAATATTACCTACACTGAACAACCACGTTTGAGACATCTTTTTCAGGTAGTTCAGACACAAACCACGACAGTTTATTGTAGAATACTACCTACACTGAACAACCACGTTTGAGATATCTTTCTCAGGTAGTTCAGACACAAACCACGACAACTTATTGTAGAATACAACCTACACTGAACCACCACGTTTGAGATATTTTTCTTAGGTAGTTCAGACACAAACCACAACACTGGAACACCACACAAAAGATATCTTTCCACTGTAGTTCAGACACAAACCACAAGAGTTTATTGCAGTACCTACACTGGACTAACACGTTTGAGATATCTTTTTCAGGTAGTTCAAAGACAAACCACAACAAAATAAATACATTCTACAATGAACTGTCGTGATTGGCATCTCAACAACCTGGAAAAGTCGTCTCAAACGTGCGTGCGATATCTCAAGTGCGCTCAGAGACCACTTCAATCGATGCAGAGAACTAGCTTCACTAGACCACACGTACGTCTAGCTTTGGGTGAATTTGCGCTTGACGCGTGCTTCTGAGATTTCCTTCAGATTGAAGGCATGTTCCCACAGTGTCTCCTCGTTCATCATAATGTCAACACGGCTCAGCTAATCATGCGCGCTTACACTAAATTTCCCCGGGAGGCGACCAAAAATGATTATCGACATTATTACTCAACGCTGCATAGCGGGTTATCGCTTTCATTAAGGTTTAATTTAGGAGAAAAGCAAAAAATTCATCGCAATAGCGTTGTTTTGATATTAAGACGTCATGTCAACTTTAGCGCGCTGACTGATTCTAATCGCGCATTTCACAAAAATAATCTGTGATAAAAAAGTCCCGCTAAATTCGGCCACGTACGATCGCAGATTGCCCGAAGTATCGGATCATTTATAAGACATTCGTACAAATGCTTGATGCAAGACGCGAGTTCAAATATGCTCGATGTACAAACGATAATTCACGCGCTAATATTAACTCACAATCAAGTGATGGAAAATATGCAAATGAGTTAATTGCCTCAGTGAACGCGCAATTAACATCTCAATCATCGATGGGGTTTACTAACGATAATTTTGACATGAAATTGAGCGAGGCAATAAAGCTGTGCTAAGTTGCGGAAATAACAGCTTCTAATTGTTTTTACTCGATAAACCCTCAAAAACCTTTTCCAGAACGAAAATTCATGGCAAAAGGGAGATTCATGCTCCCGTAAGCAGCTTTCAAAGCTTGGCAATGTCAAAATAAGTTTTTTTAAAAAAAAAACGCATTCCGCCGACAGATGGTTGCCACTTTTGCCCTTCAAGTCGTTTCGGAAATTTCTTTAATCTTAGCCAGAGATTGGATTTTGAGTTTCAGTGAGATCAGGCCTCATGGCATGAAAGCTTGATTGTTTTATCACTAATTCCACGCATGCCATATTTGATATTTTGACGGATGCCGGGTTGGAGAATATTTTCATATCCTCGCCGTGAGACTTAGGACAGTCACAGATAATCCGGTAAATCACGCATTAGTTTAGCACCGGGATCAAAAGACCCTTTCGGGTTTTTTTAATTGAAGGGCTGGTTGTATCAAGCCCGTTTAGCTTAAACGGTGGACAGGTCAAAATTAAACTAACACTCTTTCATCTCTCTTGAATGAGTCAACTTGAATATTATACACTGAATGTGTAGTTGTAAACAGTATCTTTGTATTAAGGTTAAAAACATTTAGTTTGCTTGTTGAATAAAACGATATACTTACTTTTCTATCATTGAACTTAACCACCGTTTAAGCTGAACGGGCTTGATAACAACCGACCTCAGGCAGTTTCTTTGACCTATTACCCTTGATTTAATATAGTACGCAAGCGTGATATATCTCTTGCTATAAAAGGATAAAACTTACAACCTTAATTCACCGGTTCTGATGTCACCTTATAGAATTAAAATGGATTAAATGGTTTCAGCAATCAGCATTAATGCCTGATTAGCGTTAGCATGCATTAAAGCATGAGAAAGATGCCACAACTAAAACGATTAAACATTATAGCTCAGTGGATTAAACGAACAACTTAAAGTGTTACTGCTCAGGGGCCGGTTGTTCGAAAGGCGTTTAGCTTGAGCGGTGGATAAGTTCAAAATGGAAAGCAAAACTATATATTTATTGAACAACTGAGCTGAAATATTTCGATGTAAATAGCTTAATTGTCAATGGAAGTACATATTTAATGCGTAAGATGCAGATTGAGTCATTCACAAGATGTATGAGAGTAATTTTAAACTCTGGCTTATCCACCGTCAAGCTAAACGCCTTTCGAACAACCGGCCCCAGTTTGATTGTAAATCTTGTAAGATGCGCAAATATAACCCTGGGAAGTTCATTGTCTATTCTTGCATTACACGCATGATTTTGGACAAAAAAAATTAAGAATCAAGTGGTGTAGTCAGGATTTACCGTACATACAATTATTTGAGAGTAATTATTACCCACTTTGAATGGGATCCGTCATCAAACCTTCCTCGAATATAGCAAAATATCCCCAGGGGGGGTACCCACATGCCCGCAGCCTTGTTCACACCCGCACACAATACCCGCACACACCCGCAAAGGAAATTTGTGCAACAGAACGTTTATTTAATTGAAACTACGTAGTACATTGCAAACCTATACAAGAGAATTACATGAATTCTAGACAGTAAATATTACTGGGATACTCCACGTCCACGTGATTATGCTCCTGTGACGTCAAAGACAACGTGAAGAAAAAAATGTGCATTTAACTAATGTCCGTTTGAGTTCGTTTCACACGAAAAAACCTGTACAAAAACAGAGAGGAGAAATCCTCAATACACCGCAAGTTTACTGCATCAAAGGTGACGTCATTTACGTAGCTTACCGATTACGTCATTCACAACAACTCCCCAAGGTTATCGTGGACGTTGTACTCGACCCAGTCTCTCGCGATGGGCGCGGACAGCATTTCATCGGGCAAAGCAAACGCGTCGCAAAGTGCCATAGCGTTCGGCGCCAGCTGTGCACATAGGTCAGCGGCCTCTTCGTTGACCTTGGCAGCCTCGGCGGCGGGAAGGACTTGGGCGAGTAAGCACCAACCGAGATCTTTTTCCAGTATATCGATGACGTACAAGCGATGCAAAAGATTCACGATTTGTTTGTTGCCTGCGCTGGCGTTTTCTGCGACAGCCATAAACCGTTCGCTGATCAATCTCTCACCAAAAGCTCTCGCTGCGGCTTGGATGTTGTCGCTCGCCTGGTACATCCAGGTTTCGAAGAGGCCTTGAAAAATGAAAAAAAATTAGTTACAGCAGATTTCATCAACGACCCAAGTGAAATAAACACACGCCAGTGAAATACTATTGTGTCTGAAGTTTGCACAGAACCCAGACAACTATGAAAGGTCCTTCAAAAGTCCTCAATGTTGAATGCTAGCAGCTAATGGACAATATCATAATATATGGTTAATTAATATTAGCGAGGCTTGATTGCTACCATATGCGGGAATGTGCAACCACATGCATGTATCTTTCAAATATATTCATCTTTCATCTCTTTAAGTAGGTCTTCTGAGAATTAAAATTAATGTAATATGCAGTTGGGTGATTAATTTTATTCAAACACAGTGGTTGGTACATGTGTCTTTCATCTCTGTGAACTGAGGTTTGATTTCTGTAATATACTAATATGCAGTTGTCTGATTATAATTTCACCTCAGTCACATGTGAGAAGAGTGCTTATAATTTGACTCTACCAAACACAGTGGTTAATACATGTGTCTTTCATCTTTGTGACTGAGGTTTGCCTTCTGTAATATGCAGTTGTGTGATTATAATTTCACCTCAGTCACATGTGAGAAGAGTGCTTCTAGTTTGACTCTACCAAACACAGTGGTTAATACATGTGTCTTTTATCTCTGTGACTGAGGTTTGACTTCTGTAATATGCAGTTGTGTGATTATAATTTCACCTCAGTCACATGTGAGAAGAGTTCTTCTAGTTTGACTCTATTAAACACAGTGGTTAATACATGTGTCTTTCATCTCTGTGACTGAGGTTTGATTTCTGTAATATGCAGTTGTGTGATTATAATTTCACCTCAGTCACATGTGAGAAGATTGCTTCTAGTTTGACTCTACCAAACACAGTGGTTAGTACATGTGTCTTTCATCTCTGTGACTGAGGTTTGATTCCTGTAATATGCAGTTGTGTGATTATAATTTCACCTCAGTCACATGTGAGAAGACTGCTTCTAGTTTGACTCTACCAAACACAGTAGTTACTCTCTACATTACTACATATGAACCTCACTTTCTCTTACCCTCTTTGCCAGCGGCTTGCAACCTCTTTCCCAACTGCATAAACAACAAATCTTCTCTCTTTTGCAACAAGAAGTGAAGAGAATCAACATCTTGCAAATCCACGTCCCTGCTTTGCCCCAACGTTTGAGGCTTGAAAACAGCCAACCTCTCTTTGGCAACTTTCTGCATGAGCACGCTGTTATCTCCTTCAGCGGTCATCGCCGCATGAGCGTTGCCTAGGAACGTGCCGAACCTGTTGCAGGAGAGAAAACCTTGCCCCCCGCAGCGTTCACGTGACACCGAAACGACATCGCCGATATTCCATGAAGCCAGCGGTTTGATGACGCAACACATGGTAACAATTTCTGGATGTTCCGAGCCGTCAGCTTTTTGGTTGGCCCAGCGGTCTTTGACATAGTCGAGTGCAAAGTTTATCCCATAAGTCCTTGCGAAAAGCGGCAGCAAGGCGCGCTGTTGCAGCTGATAGTTGAGAATGGGAGTGTCGGATTTACCTCGGGGACCGACGGTGAGCCGAGTTGACGCGTATCTCGTGGCGATTGTCAACGAGGCTTTGGCGGCCCCTTGACACATGCTGGCGATGCATATGCGCCCGGACAACAGTTGGTCAGCGACAGTCAAGAACCGCGAGCGGTTCCCCTTGATAGAGGACTGGAACGAGCCATCCTCGTTGACGTCAGAGTACCGGTTGAGCAGGTTTTCGCGCGGAACTCTGACGTTGTCGAAGAACAATTTAGCGTTGTCCACGCCATTAAGACCCATTTTATGTCTGCAAATGACAGTAGCGAAACATCAATAAAACGCTGTTTTATTATCCATCCAACAAAAACAAAAAACATTCAAAGATGATCTTGCCGGAAAAACTATATTATGTCATTTTTCGAGTCATCTCCGGGGGTCAAACTAGTTTCACTTTTATGAAAAAAATATATGCTGTCATATTTTGCGTTATTTTCACAGTAAAAACTGGTCGGCCATTATCTTACATTCTTCTAGACGTAATATATTATGCTGTTAGATTTTGCGAGATTTTGATAAGGTATATTCTGTCTAGTGTGACCAGATCTGGTAATTTTTATCACTAGATTCGGTCAGATGCACATAAACGGCCAAACCTGATTTTAATAATTACAAAATTTATACCAGGAGGGAGCAACTAACTAGATTTTGAGCAGCTTTGGTTATAAAATATCCATATATGGTCACACTGATGCTGTCGTACCTGTGCACTGATTAATAGACTTTTCTTATAATGACGTCAAACGCGGAAAAATAACGGAATAAAAAATGATGCTGGAAGGTGACCTACCCCATATCTTCCACCCGCACACCAGGCATGGTTTTGAGATCATCATCGCGAATTCGCACCAACACACCGTGAATTCCTAACATAGAATGTATTAAGAACCTGTTATTATGTCCGATTGGTTCATCTTTCATATCTCTTAGCAAAGTACTTTCCAACACCCGGTGGAAGACAAAGCAGTTTTGGGAGGGGTTGGACAAGAAGTTCAAAGCAATTCTTCTGGGAGGGGGGGGTGGGGTTGGATGCGAAGGACTTTTGCAGGGTTGGAGAAAAGGCACATCTGAAAGGGGGGGGGGAGTTGAAGGAAAGGAACTTTTATAGGGAAGACAGGGGGTAGTTGGAGGAAAGGAACTGTTTTAGGGGAGGGGCCAAGGCCATGCATGTTTGGGCAGGGGGGTGAGGAAAAGTAATTTCAAGGGAAGGGCAAAGCACTTTATTCTAAACATCAGAATATATTGAATTACTCTAAACATCCGAACTACCTCCAACCTACCATGATTTTCACCACCAACCAACAACTGTGCAAATACTACACAGTGCTGGGCATGTAATGCACCATTGGTGATCCAGTATTTCTGAGCCAGTGTTGTGGGTGTGTTTACTATAAACTCCTGCGTCTCTTTGTCGTATGTGGCTGTTGTCTCCATTTCAACAGCATTGTTTCCATAGCCAAGTTCTGTGAGACCAAAACATCCAACATCTTCCAAAGTGTCGATACCTTGGAGTTACACAGTGAAATGACAAATTAACTTGGTAAACATTGTCAAATTTACCTTTGTTTACCCAAGTTAACCCACTAGATATCGATGGCAGTGCTTTTCTATTGAAGTAAAATCATCTCACATAAGAAGGAGTTAAATAAAGTACTAAAAAAAGCAGAAATGAGTAGATCCATTGTGGTTCTGTAGAGGTGTTTGGCATATCTAGGTCATGGGGGTGTTGGGCAAGGAATATTAAGTTTGTTGAGAATGAGATGACACAGCACTTCTTAGTCAGAATTCATGTTTAAAAAAGTACGTATTAATTTTGTGCCTAAAATACAGTCAATATAAGGCCCAAGGATTGATACAGTACCTGGTAATAATTTTTCATGGTGACGCTCCGTGCCAAGTTTGAGAACTGTACCACCAAACAAATTGAACTGGACTGTCATTTTTGTTGTCATGGCTGGGTCAACCACGGCAGAGAGCTCATGTGCGGCAAAAATCCGCAACGGGTTGTTACGAAAGTCTAGAACCGATATGTAATCATTATCACACATTGCCTTAAGTCTTTGCAAGGCTAATTCTCGCTCTTTATCAATAGAGATGTTGTATTGTGGTTTCATGAGGTTGCCTGACAGAAATTCTCGGCAGCTGTCGCGCATCTCATGGTTGTCGTGGTCCAAGACGTGTTTCATTTCGGCGACATCAAAGCTTGGTTTCCCCCAGGCATCCCGGAGCTCTTTGGGGTTCGGGTTTCCATGGGTTGGGGTGGTCGAGACATGGCGATGGGATGGTGGAGTTTGATGATTGATAGGAGCAGTTTGGAAAATTTGTAGGGAAGCTGGTCTGAGATACGTTCTTGCTGGTTGACGACCAAGTGAAAATACCCTTGGCAAGTGAAGTAACCTTTGCATTGTCTGAAAGGACAGACATAAACATGGTCATCACTATACATAGGGCTTGGTTTAATTGCCAAGTAAAACAGTAGTTCTGAACAAGAGGTTCCTCCAAAAATCTCCCTGCAGTTCTACCAAAAAGTATATCTGCAACTGTCTAATTCTTCGTTATGTTTTGTTTATATTGAATTGCGTGCTTGACCTGCCTTGCATATAGACCACGAATTTAAATCCATTTTGATTGTGGTGAACTATAGTTTTAGACGTTTTGAGATCCTAATATGCACATTTCTACAATACAGTTATTTTAAGGGCTTTCACAAACTTTTACTCGCCAAAAAAGTACCAAAAAACAGTTTAATAATACGAGATTTAAATATATATTGCATACGGGCACCTGAATTCAAACGCTTTTCGCACAAGAAATACTACCTAAGCAACATTTTCTTACGTATTCTTCTTCCAATACAACTTACCGCTTTGCTGAGGAAAAAACAAGCAAAATCGTCAAAGAATTAAAGCAAAAAAACAACAAATTAATGAACAAATTTGAGCTGCTTCTACAAACTCACTGCCAACAATTAAAACCGCGCGAGACTGGGGGCCAAAATACAAAGTCCTTTAATTAATTTCACCGCCCTTTAAATCCTTAAACAATGTCTCATTATCTCTCATTATGGTCGAAAAGTCTAAGTATTACAATACTGAGGATCCTCTTAAATAGTTTGCAAGCTCCAAAACTGCAGTTTTATTGCTTTTTAAAGCATTTTTCCAAAACATTTTCTTTTGGCAATAAGCAGCAAAGATTCCCTAAAAATGTGCACCTTTATTTTCAGCAAGGAATGCGCATGTTCAGAGTTTATGTCACACGTGATTCCGAAACATTCCGGCGGACATCGACTGAAATACGGAGCTAGGTGCTTCTTTCCTTTACCAATTTGGATAATGCCCGGCAACATAGTTTTAAAATACATAACGAGGTTAGGAATGCGATCTTCTCTCAATCTTTATAACTAAATTCAAAATATATTTTAAGTACAAATATATGAATGAGTATGGCTTATCCAAATAATTCCCTCTTTATCCCCTCGCGTGCATTGATTAACATTCAATGTCCTCTGTCATTACTTCTTCTACCCTTCAAACATCCTTCATCAACCATCGTTAGCCTGCCAGTGCAGTCAACAACAATGTCAGTGACGCTAAACCTTGCTGTGAGGCGTCTGTCGAACATGGTGTGCGATTTCAGCGCATTATTAATAAAATATTTTGAACTATTCCGTCAGGGCTGCTGACGGCACTTAGCTAAAATTGTAACACTAGTACTTGGCGTCCACTGGCTACGTCTGAACAGTGTTTGAATTGCGACCATCTGTTAGCTGCGACTTATCCGAGTCGGTTCTTCTGGTACCACCCTGCCAGAATGATAGTGAAGTGTTATCGAGATTAATGGTAACCTAATGGTACTTAGCACCATGTTTCAACTTACAATTTTTTAGAAGGTACAGAACTTCCAGATAATATAAGACCAAGAAGAAGTGCAGTCTAAAATGAATGCGAAAAACAATTGCTATAAATCATAAAAATCAAGTTACCAATAATACAGTTACGTTCATACTTAATATAATCACAAACCTGTAACAAAAGTATACAGCCAAAGCCCTTTATTTAACAAAGAGAAAGATAGATTTTTCACTGGTCAGACATGAACATAAGGTTTTGTAGCCTAACTACAATGAATCAAGTCTATTAACTAATTTACTAACCGTACACGTCCAATTGAAGTGAAGATAATGAGTAAAAACGCCGCTCAAAGTTGGGCCAAAAAACGCGCTAAACGAGATGAAATTAGGTTAGGAAGAAGCTGGTTAATAACAGGTTACATGACACAGTTACGATATAAATTTCGTGCGAAAATTTACCCGACATTAAATGCCGATCCAAATACGCCTGAGACAATCCCGTGTGTTGCAAGATCAATGGAGAAACCACGGGCTCTGGTATAAAAGAAAAACTAAAAGTCAGAATGATGCTGGTTCAGAAATAATTTCCCTCTTATAAGGAAGCGTGAATATAATGACATAGTTAAAAAAGACATCTTCCCCCCCCACATTCCTGGTATGTACACCTCCCGGACACCCGTAACCTGATAGGAAATGATTGACAGCGAATATCATGATAAGTGCTGGCACAGAGGAGGTGCTGGCCCCTCGCATGAATAGCGAAACAAACTTTGAGTGTTTAACATACTTGACAATATTCTCTAGCTCTGATATGCCGGGAACCATCATCGGGCCAATCGATAATCCCATCAAACCTAACGATAGGCCGACCAACCACAGCTTTCTGGTTTTATAAAAAGAGTCTTGAATAAGTGATGGTAGGTAAATCTAGTGTTATGAATGGTTTTGTGGGCAACTTACTTTGGCATGAACGAAAATGGTACTGGGCCCAAGAGAAAGAAACTACACGCACAAACTAAACTCCCGAGCAACATCACCCATCTTGGACTCTGAGGAAAAGAAATAAAATGTTAAACTGGATCTGCTGCTATATGGAACAGTTTAGAACTGATGCTGATAGAGCTATCCAGTATAAATAAAGTTAGTTTAGTTTAGGTTTCCTCCTGTAGTAACACTGGATCAATAAGAGATGATCCTTACTGGACCTCTAGGAAGAACAGTTTAGAACTGATAGAGCTATCCAGTACAAATAAAGTTAGTTTAGTTTAGGTTTCCTCCTGTAGTAACACTGGATCAATAAGAGATGATCCTTACTGGGCCTCTAGGAAGAACAGTTTAGAACTGATAGAGCTATCCAGTATAAATAAAGTTAGTTTAGTTTAGGTTTTCTCCTGTAGTAACACTGGATCAATAAGAGATGATCCTTACTGGAACTCTAGGTAGAACAGTTTAGAACTGATAGAGCTATCCAGTATATATAAAGTTAGTTTAGTTTAGGTTTCCTCCTGTAGTAACACTGGATCAATAAGAGATGATCCTTACTGGAACTCTAGGAAGAACAGTTTAGAACTGATAGAGCTATCCAGTATAAATAAAGTTAGTTTAGTTTAGGTTTCATCCTGTAGTAATTAACACTGGATCAATAAGAGATTATCCTTACTGGGCCTCTAGGAAGAACAGTTTAGAACTGATAGAGCTATCCAGTATAAATAAAGTTAGTTTAGTTTAGGTTTCCTCCTGTAGTAACACTGGATCAATAAGAGATGATCCTTACTGGGCCTCTAGGAAGAACAGTTTAGAACTGATAAAACTATCCAGTATAAATGAAGACAAATTTCAAAATCATACAAACCGTCTTATCAGCAATCCATCCAAATAATGGGGCAAATAATGCATAGCAACCACAGAACAAGAAGAAAAGCAAACCAATTTTTGTACTGCTTGTTATGTTGAACTGCAAGGAACAGGAGCACATAGTAATGAAGTAGGTAGCAGTGACGACATTATACAAATAATGAATGTTTATGAGTGGAATGGTAAGTAGAATTTCACAAGGTGAAAGATAGCAATCACAATGGCAATCATAATGATCATATGATAGTATCCTGTGATATATGGTGGTATTAGGTGGATAGTAATGAACATTGTTTAGTGCTTCACCTCATCCTTCAAGTGAGGAGCCAATGTGGGTTCAATAATTCCAATTGCCATTCCTCCAGTTACAATTGTCATAACTACAAAAAAAGGCAATGAAAAGGAGTCAAAACTATTAAAGAAACTGAAATAAGTGGAATAGTTTTTTAGAGTTGAACTTGCTAGAAGTTAATTGACTCCTCTAGCTCACAATGTACATAAACAACATACTATTTACCTATGATATCAAATGCTGGTATTTTAAGAAACTTCCAAAGGGTTGCATCAGTACTTCCCTCTTCTGATTCACCAGCTGTTGAGAATGAAAACACATGTGACCAATGAAAACACATTTGATAATGCAATCAAATGGGAATTGGTATATCACAAATCATTGTTGAATTAATTCTTGAAAATCATACCATCATGGACCTTTGGAAGAATACATATGCACACAGGTAGTGTGAGAAGAATCAATCCCGCCAGGACAAAAAATGGCGTTCCAAAACCACCATACTATAAAACACATGTACAGTATAAGATTCACAAACTGTTTGCAATACAAATTCTTATAAAAAAATCGTAATGTATTTGCTTTTATGTCAAATTTAAGCCTCTAATACCTCGTATAAAACACCGCCAATAAGTGGCCCCAATGTTAAGCCAAGTCCACTGAATAATTCTAGACTGCCCTAGAAACCAAATCAAAACTCAAATAGGATGAAGTTTAAGGGGACATTGTAGGGAAAAGTAATGAATCTTGCTTTTACCATGACGCTGCCAACATTGTCTGGAAAGCACTGAGCCAAATACGCAACAGCAGCCGTCATTGCCCATGCACCACCGACGCCATCGAACACTCGTATCACAAATGAGAATGTTATGAAGAGAGTCCTGTTTGGCATTTTATCTAAAAATCTTTTAATAAAAAAAAATAAAGACTAAACAAAAAAGATGGTGGATTCTAACCCTTGTTTTCTCATTTTTAAGAAGGCCAGGACAACAGGAATAAATTGAGTTGGTAGTTTTCCTTACCCAAATAAAAACTCAGAGACGCCAATGATAAAAATCCCATTGAACAAGAAGAAGCGGATGCCAACTGTTGGTATCTTCAAAAAATATCAAAAGAAATTAGGGAAAGAGTAATGTTTTCATCTTCATAGTACCAGTTGTTGTGTGCTAGCTTGCATGTTTGAATTCTTTGCTTGCATGTTTAATGACAATGGCCCACTGTTGTTCCAAAGGCTTAAACAGCTTAAACAGTACAGTGGATAAATCGAAATAATATTAAGTACTGCTCAGTTGTTAAAGCCTTTGAACAATAACTATCCCTAGGTGCATTGCATGTTGGTTTTTTTCGCAAAAGGTCTTCCACTGTTCCACATCCCTTACGAAATCACCCATAAACTCATCAAAGCATCTAAATAAGCCTCTGGCACACAAGTTAATCTTATTTGGACAGCAACCTCAGAGCACCAAACGTTGAGGTTTGCACCCTGGCATTTCTGAGTCTTTGACAGTTTAAATTAAAATGCATGAACACATGTATTACCAAAGTGATATTATAACTCTTCCAAAAATAAGGCAAAGATTCAGAGAACAAAACAGCTGATATAGGGTCTGTGGCACAACAAAAATATTTGAAAAATGCAACATACCCAACTGCCGACCAACGGGGAAACGATAACACTAACCAGCGCAAAGATACCAAATATAAAACCGACAACATTACTACCTGCACCCTTTTCATTTGCCTGAAGATGAAGAAAATTAAACGTGAACAAAACTGTAAAAAAGAAATAAAAACACACGTGTCGAGATGAACACTTTCAAGTCAATTCACGTCAAATACGTGATGTACATCATGAACTCACTTCTGTGGGATAAAAAGGAGCGATAACCGAATACGACGCTGCGATAGTTATATAAATGATTGCAAATGTTAGAACCGTTAACTTTTTTCTTGTTTTAATAGTGTTCTTGGAGAGCTGCCTTGTAGCTGGAGTTTTGTTCAAAAGCGGTTCAACCTCTTCTTGAACGATTGAGTCATTCCCGCGATGTTTGTCTGCCATATTTTCTTTTAAAACTCGCAGAAAATGATCTGTTTTTTTATCAATTTACAAGCAACAAGGCAGAATTCATCCGACGCTGCAACGGATGTCGTTCTTGGCACTTCTTGCTTTGTTGTGGTGCAACAAAAGTTGCAAATCGTGTTCCAAATTCTGATGTTGCGCAATAATCCAGCTTCGCGCCCGCGGGAAAATACCACGCGTGGGGTACTCGAAGTGACACAAAGAAGTGATAGTGGTTTTTTCAATCGCTTCAAAATCGCCCGTTATTTGCTACAACTTTGATTAAATCTTAGTATTCCTAAATTGAAGATCCTCTTCAATAATTGTTGCTTCCAAGCTGAAATTTTATCGCTTCTCGAGCATTTTTAGAACGGTTGAAAAAATCACTATCCGGCGGATAGCGCTATCCGGCTTTGATACAACCGGCCCCTGATCTATATAGTGAAGTTATGCAATCGAATTCCTGACGAACAAAAATATTTCTTATTTAGCTCGAATTCGGCGGGTGTTTTTGCTCAATATCGCGGTAAAGGAGCTATTAATATTTACCTAAAAGACGCAGAAAGAAATTCCATATCCGAAGTTTCAAGAATGAAAAAATAAATGGAAAAAATGCGTGTAAAAATGGAGTGAAATCTGAGGGAAATTTATGTGTCCCCACTTGAAGGGAACGTAAGTGCTTCCCTTCTGACCTCTATTACACCAGGATGTGGATAGCAAATAGGAAGTTTACACTTCATATAATAATAATCTGAAAGAATTCAAATATAAAGCAAATGGAAGCTACACAGACAATTCACTTACTTTCAGAGGAAAGAACGGACCTAGGACAGAATTTGAAGCTGTTATGCAGCAGAATATTACAGCAAATGTAGCGATAATCAACCGTCTACGTTTGTCTCTGAGAGTTTGACTATCGTACAAGGAAAGCAGATGTTCTCTGTGGGCAATACCAAACAGAGGCGAGCTTGAAACGGCGGGCAGCAATTCATCATCTTCCTCCATCGATTTTCTCGAGTTACATTGAATAAAATCTTAAAAGTCCACCTTTCGAGTTACGACCCTCTTTTTCCTGCCATTTTCTTTAACTCGTTGTTATGATTAATAGAAGCACGTGACGCTCATGGATGGCAGGACGCTTCAAAATGACGATTAATTTTAATCCGGGATTAAAGTGTACCCAAGGATTGGATTACCGTTAGTCACATACTGGGAAACAGGGATAAAGCACTAAAATTTATACTAACGTTTATCGATGCAAAAATAATCTCTTTATTCCATTCACATTCAGCTGAGTCGCATCCAGTATCAAGAAACTGGACCATAAAACTACATTCTTGATAATCATTGAGATTACCTTAAAATTTACTTCGTTTTAGAAGAAATAAGGTAATAATTCCATGTTCAATAAATAGGATTAGGTTAGGATTACATCTTAGATTAGGTTTCTGGTTGATTATGGTTAACCTTAATCCTAAATTTAACCCTAATCCTAACCTAATCTCAAGGATTAAATTCGTGTATTTAGGATTGACCGAGCATGGAATTATTACCAAATAAGACCTCGCTAAGGCTTGTAATAAAATATATTCTATTCTATTTTTCATACTAAAATTTTTGTTTTATTTGATCGGAGATGATTTTTACTTCCGAACAAACTTTCAATGTGTAAATTCTTCTCATAATTTGGAGACCGTATCTCCCTATTTCTGCTGTGTTTTTCGTTTGCTAGTTACAATGTTATTTGCTGTTCAACACGCTACACTACAGTCTATGTAGTAACAATATCACAAAAGCCAAGAGTAAACCTCGGCAAGTTAGGGCCAATGATTGAAAATATTACCTCCTAGCCATGTTTCCCAAAATGAAGCAAATGCCAAACACGTAGGAAGAAACATGCTCCGAAAAACATATTTTTTCTCGAAACATGTTTCTTCCTATTGTCTGCTGGCAAAGGTTTGGTTTTTCACCGTTTTTGGACCCACACGTGACGTGGGAACACGAGGAAAATGATTACCGTAGATTATGCTAATTTTGCGCAAATATTTTAAGGCTCATGATAGCGTTGAAGTTGTCGAAATTCGAAGATCTTTAACAAGTTGTTTCGGCAAAAAACTATTTGATAAGCTCGCAAAAGGACAAATTACAAAACACGAGAACATTCTGATATTAATTTACGTCGCATTATTCTACAAGCTATTCTCTGTTGTGAAAAAACCCGTGATATTTGTTTATTTGCCAACATTCAGGAAACATTCCAAGAGAAAACATCTAGCCCCAACCGCATTTTTAGCATTTAGCGACATTTAACCGTAATTTCATGGTCTCACAGGCAAAAATGTCGGTGTATTGACAAGCTTCATGATTGGTGCATTAAAATCGTTTCCAATTTGTCTCGAGAGTTGGACGGTTGGAAATCCGTTTGCGATTTGATTCGATACAGCAAACGTGGTTGTTTTTCCTCCGTTCGTGCTTACGGGAGCGTAAACCGAGGTGCACGACGTATTGGAGCCTGTTTGCGCGTCCATGCGAGACGCGAGCGCAAATGGAAACTGTACTTCGGGAATGATCGTCGTTGTTCGTGCCCCACCGTTACTCGGCTGCTGCGCGTTGCCGTTTGTGAGAATTGCATCAGAGAAACAAACAATAGGATTATGCGACCATTGGATACCCTCACCTGTACCGCTCAGTCCATTAGTGTTCCCATTATCCGTTTGAAACCCGCTCAGACCATTTAAAGTTGACATGTTACTCAAACCGTTCCCGAAAGTCGCGTTTATCCCATTCAATCCTATACCGTTGATCGTGTTGATCCCCTGGAGACCACTAACACCAGTAATCCCGTTGATCGTGTTCAAACCCGCAAACCCGTTTATTTGATTGACCCGCGCCTGATTTGGTCCATTCACCGGGCTTATGCCATTTGTAGATCCGCCAGCAGTATTAATAGCAAAATTACCAGCGGTTGTGTTGATCGTCGCTAAGCCGTTAATCGTCCCCAGTCCATTGATCGTGTTTATTCCAGCAAAGCCGTTTGTTAGTCCGTTTAGACCGCTGCCCAGGCCTTGGAAGTCACTCAGCGGACTCAAGCCATTGAGACTGCCTCCATTGACCGCTATACCTGCTGGGAAATACTTGATCCACGTCGGTGATATTTTTTGGGTACTCTGTTTGAATAAAAAAAATAAACATCGTCGTTTGAAAAATCTCTCAAAAACCTCAGAGTATTTTCTTCATCTCCAATCCCAAAAATGCTTACCTCATTTCTATTTTTAGCCGTTTGGTCATCGAGTTTTATTCTTTTAGTCTCGTGGCCACTATCCACGTGTTCCTTTGGCGAGCGCCGCGTGACCTTCACGAGGTCATTACCGTTCAGATCTCCGTTTAATCCGTGTTCGTCCTCGTCGCTGTTCGTCGACAGTCGTCGTTTCCTCTCTCGGACGTGTTCGCCGGTACTCGTACTACTGCTGCCGCTGCTGCTTCCCGGGCTCCCTGTTGCCGTGTCGTCAGAATCGTCACTATCCTTGCGAGAGGTGGGCGAAATCTGACCGTGACCACTTTCAATGTGATCACCTGAAGATATCAAAGAAAATCCCCAGTTAATGTAAGATTAAACCCAATTTTAAACATACCCAATTATGTCGGATCCAATTCACTTCTGATGGATGCCTTATAGTCTGTTGACTTGCAAAATATATGCGAAGGAAATCAACGAAGCCAATGCAGTACTGCTTTATCAATAACAGACTACATTCCATACGTCAGAAGTGAATTAGATCCGACAAAGCTGAATCGTGTAAAAAGGCTTGAAATAAAGTAAACTCGCTCTAAATCTGCTTCTCAGTGTACGCAAACTCAGGTGAGAAAAATGCCCTCCAAACCTTTGAGTCCATCATATGCGTGAACAACACAATTACACTTACGTTTCAGGGCACGTGATACTTCATGTACGATATTCTCAGGATTGTGCGCCTGCTCAGAGGTTTGGAACTGCTGTAATTGACTCGAGTCCAGGGATGCGCTGTTTGCAAAGGCGGTCAGCCCGTTCGGGAACATATTTTGCGGGAGGGTGAAACTAAACTGCTGCTGGGGAAAGGACGCTGCGCCTGCGTGCATGTGGATCTGCTGAATCTGAGCCTGCATTTGAGCTTCAGCCCTCGCTTTGTCATGCGCAGCTTTTGCCTCCTTCTCCGCCACGTTGTTGCGTAATATTCTATTTATAGAGCTGACGCTCGGTACATTTGCCTTCTCGCAGACGCCATCGTTGAGAAGGTTATTTCGGATCTCCCAGGCGAAGATGCAAGGATTCTTGTCCTTATACTCGAGGATTTTCTCGACTACCTTCGGCGTAGCGACTTTGGGCTTGCTGCCTCCGATCGCGCCGGGCCGGACCGAACCGGTCTCGTAGTACCGGCCGAGGATCTTGCTAACGCAACCGTGTGAGACGAGGAGCTGCCGAGATATCTCCGAGGGTCGTACGCCAACATGCGCCAGCTCTACGATCCTTTGACGCATATAGTCCGGCAGCGGCCGGCCGTTGACGAAGACGCCTCCGAGTTGGTTTACTCCGCCGGGTCCTTGAGAGAAAGAAAAATATTTTGGTACATTTGGGAACAACGAGACTATTGGGGATTGTGAAGAACACTAAAGGGGATATTGGGATAGAAAGGTGGTGAAAGAGGGAACGACGAAGGGTAAATTCAAGTCCCTTTCGTTCAACTCTGACACAACTGGAACGAAACAACTGGTGATAAAAATGTCCACATTTGCCTGAAGCCAAAATAGTTTTTCGGATTTTTTAACTAAAAGACTTGACTTTGAGTGACCGCACATCAAACAGAAGCCACTGAAAATTGCTATTTGGCGTAGAAATTTGAAGTCGTTATCGAAAAAGCAACTACTCATGACGAAAACGGCAAATATTTGGCCATTATAAGTGTTTAAGTGTTCCTTTTTATCGTTCCAGTTGTAGTCGAGGTCGCGGGGTTTGTTAGCAGCTATTATCGTATAGGGTTTTATCTCGTACCACGATGCGGCATTCCCCTCCCAGCAGCTCCTGAGTTCTCGTTAGTAGTCGTCGTTGAAATCTACAACAGAATGGATTATAACACTAGTTTAGCTCTAATCCTAAATAGGAGTTTAACCATTATTTCTAAATCCATTTCGTCCCAAATGCTAATCACAAACAACGGATTCACGGCCAAGATTAGTCTTGGATTAGATTAACTTCAATGTGACAGAGATATGACCGAAAAAATCTGACTTAAAGCAAACATTTCTGGTTTAAACAAACATATTTAAGAATTTACCAGAGTAACAGAGGATTGCCCCAGATTATCGCAAGGCGCAAGCCAATTACTAAGTACGGAGTACCATGAATGATTGACAGTTGCCATATAAGATCTAATGTCCACATACTTTAAGCCCGTTTTCCACTAGGCGAATTTATTCGTGCGACGCGAAGCGATATCTGAAATCCGGTGATGTGGTTGGTTTGCAAAAAAATTCGCCGCGAAAGAGTAGAATCGCTTCCTACTTTTTATCTGTTCGCGCGAATAAATTCACCTAGTGGAGAAGAGGCTTTACTGTTTTATAGTTTTCGCGTAATACTAGACGAAATTACTCAACAGTGGAACGGCGCTGTTGTTGGACGAGTGAACAAAACTATTTGAAAGTGCCCTGTTCGTTTGGCTTGCAATGTATCCAGATGAACTATACTTTTGAATTTTGCTCGAACCAATGCTAAAGGCCCTGTTACACGGCGCAATTATTTTTTGCAACATGCAATGCAATTCTACTTTTAAAAGATGTAAAGAGTCTTCAAAATGTAAGTGTAAGATACGCCATGGAGTGTAATAAAGACAAAAGTTTGGTAGTTGCCAAATTTACATCTCTCAAAAGAAGAATTGCATTGCAAGTTGCAGGAAAAATTGCACCATGTAACAGGGCCTTAAGGACTCGATCCATTGGTTGAAAGTTTCGCTATTTAGTAGATAAACAAAACGATATTCCACTGTATCTTGTAGATCCTAGGTAACCCATAATAGCTATGGTATAGCAAAGCGATATAGGACTATCTACTTCGCATCTTACTCCGTCTATGGCGAGATGGTTTTATATTCCTCGGAGACCAAGATTGTAGCGTTTCGCGCGCGAAAGCAAACGGCAAAGATTTAGAAACAAACGCAAAAACAAAAATAATCAAAGGTAGCTCGGACTACCTGCTGACACAGCGGGTTGTGTAGGTCACAAAAACAAAATATAGAACTATCGATAATACTTTTGTCACATAAATAGCTACTTTGCATACGAATTAGCATAAAGTCCCCATTTGTAAGAAATACTAAAGAAAGTATGTGGGTTTTCTCATTAATTTTCGAAACCTGACATCGAACAATGAAATTTAAAAACGAAACACAGAAAATTATTTTAATGAAATAGAAAGCCGCTAAAAATACCACTTTGATTTCATTTAAATCATATTTTTATTTTTACCAAGTTCTTTATGGATATCCAGCGGAAATCTATTTTTTTCTTTTAGTAGTATTCAAAGCGTACAATTTCTCGGTAAAAATTGTGATTTGTAAAGTTTACAACACTCAAACGGTAAAGTTAAAGTTGAGATATCGTTATAACCTGCTGACACTTTGTCAGGTCCTGCCAAATGGTATTCTTATGTAAATGAGGGAAATCAAAGCTTTCGATTTTCTCGTATAAACCAACCAAATTTCCCCCAAACGTCTATACGAAAAAAGTTCGACGCAAAGTCACGCGAATTAGGCAAAAATATTTTAAAAAATTACAGCTTACCTCAAGAGCAAGAGATTAAGCAAGCCGACACAAAGATTTTTACCATATTAAGCAATTCTTCCCGAGAAAAACGCGTTGTTGAAACACCTTAAGCCATGCCATGCGTTTTATTTCGTGTTAAGCCATCCTTTAGATCGTCACGCTGCCCCGTTTAAGGCAGCTTTGTTGCTGTTTAATGGCATAATGCCTTCTCCCTACGGTTGGCTAACATCACAACATTTGAAAGGCTTTTTATCGGCTAATTTATAATTCATAAGCTGCTCAGCTCGACCATACGACGCCTGAACGCTTCAATGAATTTTCAACTTCGATTGCGACAAACATAAACTTCGATGCGATTGCTTCGAAAAAAAAATCACAAATCCCAGCGGTACGTTTCATAAAAGTCGCTGAAATCTCGCGCAAAACCTTGCGTTCTTGCGATTTCTCGAACGCCGTCAAAGAGCTCGGGATAATTTTTCAAAACAGGTAGAAGTTGAAACAAAACTGGTGCGTTTGCAAGTGTAAACAGGTTACAAAACCGAAAAGCTATTGTTCCTCTCTTCAAAACTATGTAATATTGTCAATCACATATGTGAAAATCCCGCGCGGCGAAAATCGGCCCGTTTTCTGGCGGCAGCATACTTTGCACAATAGTTAAAAAAAATTGTCGAATTATTTCAGCGTTGTTGTTATTCGTTGCATTGTTACAAAAAGTGGAATTGAATTAGACTCACCACAATTCAATGAGCACTCGTTAACCCCGTGAATCAAAGCAAACTTGCTTCAGCAAAATTGTTTGTGGCCGCGGTCTGTCGAGTTAACCGTTTCATTTACGGCATACGAGTTCTAAAAAAGTAACAATTACAGATTAGAACGGTTGATATTCTCAATTAGGGGGGTAATTAGTACTTGATACAATTATAAGAGGAAAGCTCCGTTCAAAAACTAAAATTAGTGCGACGAGAATTGTCGCCGATTTTAAGGCGAAAAGTTCACCTTAAAAACGAGTAGAGAAATCTAAGTAATATTTCGCAGTTCAAGAGAGTACGCTTAACGAACTTACCTTGATTTTGTTAGTGAACATGTCAGTAGAAAGTAAACTAGGCTGCCACAAAGGAACGTTTCGAGCTGGTTGCAAGTTCACAAGAGCGTTCAGGTTTAACCGTTTTGTTCATGGTTAGCTGATCACGGGCGTTCAAGCAGAGAACGTAATTACTCCCTTCGTTAGCTGAACCCCACCTATTTAGCACAAGCGCTGAAGTGAATAGTTTTATAAATAAAGTGGATATCATTTAAAAGATGCCATGAACGAAGTGGAGCTCAGCATACCAGCCGGGGTATGAGTTGTGAATGTGATGCGTGAATCGTATAATACGGAACTTGGTCGAAAACCAAGTCCGCAATTTCTGAAATCTTCTTCATAAACTTTACATCAATATATTGAGCCCCAGGCTTGAAGTAACTGCATTCTACGCGAACGCTCGACTTGCATCAATGAAAAATCGCGATTCTTGGGTGGGACGGTTTAAAACAACCGCAAAAAAGGCAACTGCGCAATTTTACATATGCGAGAATTTAAAACAACGATGTATCCAACTTATTTGTTGTCATTTAAAAATCTTGTTGGTGAAACAGAAAAATTTACGCGGTTTAAAACCATTAAAGGCACTTTTTTCAGGCAATTAAATGCAATAGTACTCTTAGTCACTCATGCATCGTTTTTCAAAATTCCCGACGGAATTTCTCGCTTTTTTTCTGAGGAAATTATCTCCGGTCTTTCTTTCGACGAAGTGAAATGTTTGGAAGGTTACATGTTGAACTGATTAACAGGAAATTCACGAAAAAAACTTTAAATTTTCTGCTCGCAGGAACGCTTTATTTTTGAGCTTCAAGCAGGAAAGACACATGCAAAAAAATGAGACTCGCATCAAAAAAACGTCGTTTATTCTTGAACAAACTTTACAAAACTTTCACGAGAAGCTTTAATAATTCTTCGCAATCATTCTCCCACATTGGATACAGAATTTGTCGCCAACATTCAAAACATTGAAACATGCAATGCAGTTTGTTGTAACTCCAGTTTCACTTAGACCAGTCGGTGTGACAACATTCCATGCTAGCAACGGTCTCTTATACGACAGCTGATTAGAAAATGCAAGACGCCACGGACTTTTGTTTCCGGAGAAGGCGTACGGGCTCTTGAGTATCCGGGAATTGAGCTCTAGGGCATTAGTTCCACGAGGGTTCACGTGACCGTGGGATAAGGCGTTGAACTGGAGGCCGCTGGTTGGTGGCATGCGCGGGCTCGTAAATCCAGGAGTGTAAGGTAACGGTCGAAACATGGACAAGCATTGAGAAGGGACTGTTGGGTGTAGATGTTGTATATTAGGTACCCGTGGGGATAGAAATGTACATTGTCTCATCTTGTTGTTTTGTACAAGAGTTTCAATTGTTCTGAACAAGTTGTTTCCACACGCTTTTAGGGTTATCATTAAAATATGTTTCTCGACATGTGGAAACACTTTTGTTAACAAAACGACATTCGTTTCCATGGCAGTGCACGAAGTCTGTGCGGAGCTTGGCGATTGTGAACTCGGAGAATGTTCGGGAAGATCTTCGTTGCGTGAACACGGAATACTATCGGGACGATTTCCACGCGAAGTTTCATCGCCGTTTTCCGATTCGACGGGTGGTGTTCTTTCTTTTTCAATATTCTCAAAGTTCAGCACATTTCCATTTACTACAGAGACAAAAATAACTTTCGTGTAAAAATCAATACACAGATAATCTTTTTTACAAAAGTCATTCAAAGCTGCTTTCATTAGCGTTTAATGAAGGATCATTAGTGAAGCCGCAAAATAACTGGGAAACATTAATCATTTCTACCATGACCGTTTTTAATTAAAGTTATATTCCGAATTGTAAAACCTTTTCACGATTGTACATACCTATGTTCAACCGATAGAACTATTGTATCCAGTATAAATAAAGTTAGTTTAGTTTAGGTTTCCTCCTGTAGTAACACTGGATCAATAAGAGATGATCTTTACTGGACCTCTAGGAAGAACAGTGTAAGACTGATAGAGCTATTCAGTATAAATAAAGTTAGTTTAGTTTAGGTTTCCTCCTGTAGTAACACTGGATAAATAAGAGATGATCCTTACTAGACCTCTAGGAAGAACAGTTTAGAACTGATAGAGCTATCCAGTATAAATAAAGTTAGTTTAGCACTTACTGTCAAAGTCTTGACCTGATCCAGGCAGTGGATAATCCTGGCGTATTTCGGAGCAACCAGCTAAACCTTGCAAGTATCCTGGTGCGACAAAGCCCTCCCTCGCACTCTAACTTGCTCCAAACTTTGCCTTCATCTCATCATCCTGTGCCTGTTGTCTTCGGAAAGCGACCTGGGCAGCCATCACTCGTTGTCTCTCGGATATCAACCTACACTGATGGCAGCTACAATATCTCCAGCGACAATACCGTTTGTGACCTTTCAAAAGCGACGACACGCCGTGTATCCGACATCGGGCACACTTTGGTGCCCTGTAATCTTTGCGACCGTCCGAATTGACGGAAACTACAGAAATCTTCGAGCTTTCCATCAATAAATTCTCACGATTCTCAGACCGAAATAACTAATTCCGTGGCAGGTATATCACACAAGCCTCTTGCAATCTTTTTGAACAAGGAATTCTTGCTATTTAGTTGTATACAAATCTCCAAAGCCGAGGGAGAAACTGCGAACTGTTTACAATACGCTTGTACACATTTTAATGCAATTTAGCACGGTTTTGATAAACGAAACTTTGGTTAAACATTGTAACAGAGTAAACAAACTAATGTAAAAAGAATATCGGCGGTTTGGCTGCAGTAAAATGTTAATGATGTTATTAAAATGTCATTATATATAATATGGTTGCGATGTAATTGAACATGACAATCGATTTTGCAAACTATGATTGTGTTTTCATTCAAATTTAAAACGATGCTCATTTCAATTTATCAAACATTGCATCTTTCATGACAAGTACGTGACGATAGACGAATCCTAAGATAGCCTGATTTAGCTGGACGATTCAAGCTTTGGATTATCTTCGAGTATCTGCAAGTATAGTTCTAAAAAGAACTATTAAAATAGAACTGCACTTGTTGCGAAAATACGTGCAAAATTTGACGTCTGAATCAGGTCTCTGGTGTCCAAAACTCTGGGACCGCGGAGCAGGGTGGCTCGCTGGGCTTTAGCCCCACCAATAATTTTTCCGTAATTTGTCTTTAATTTTGAATATTTTTTAGTTAGCTCAAATTTACAAGCTAAAATTTACAAGCAATACAAGCGCCAAACATGCTGGAAACCGGCTTTACATTGGACAAGCATTTGACCATTAAAACAGCGTGGTTATCCATGTCAAAATATTTGACATCATAACCAAAGCATGGTTATATTGTTTAATGTTTGTATATGAGCGCCAAACATGCTGGAAACTTTACATAGGACAAGCATTTGACCATTAAAACAGCGTGGTTATCCATATCAAAATATTTGACATCATTAACCAAAGCATGGTTATATTGTTCAATGTTTGTATATGAGCGCCAAACATGCTGGAAACTTTACATAGGACAAGCATTTGACCATTAAAACAGCGTGGTTATCCATATCAAAATATTTGACATCATAACCAAAGCATGGTTATATTGTTTAATGTTCGTTATGAGCGCCAGACATGCTGGAAACTTTACACAGGACAAGCATTTGACCATTAAAACAGCGTGGTTATCCATTTCAAAATATTTGACATCATAACCAAAGCATGGTTATATTGTTTAATGTTTGTATATGAGCGCCAAACATGCTGGAAACTTTACATACCATCTATTATTTCCCAATAATCCTTAAATTGAGAGGCATTTGAGGCGATTTCAGAGACCGATTTTTTTCCCGAACTCTCCTAGCAGGCGCACGGTTCCAAGCCCCAGCAATACGAAAAACGCTCCGCGGTCCCTGAAACTTTCTTAGTTTTCAATGAATTGCTTAGTTTTGAATTTGTTTTGTTTTACATAAGCACTAGTTGAATCAGTTATGAATAACACTACCCCAGTTTTCACCAACATTTATATACAATTATGTTTCATTTCCAAGTTTTAAACAATTTCTGAATTAGCTTACCAGAGTTAAAGATTAAAGTTTCCCTTTTCTCAAAGTTGTTAAAAATCCAGGATTAAATAGATATATAACAATTTGAAATCATATAATGGTAGTTCATATTTGTAAATTTAGTTCCAATAGGGCTGAGTTTCCAGTCTTAGATTCAGTTCTTAACCTTTTTTATCAGTGGAAGCATTTTTCCAGCATTTGCTTCTCTTGAGAGATGCAAATGAGTGAATAGTTTGTGTATAGTGAATGTTAATTCTGATGTAATTCATGTATAGGTTTCCCTAAGTAAATATCCACGAGGTTTTCACTCAATTGCATCAGTCAAAAGGAGAAAATTGCACATATAATTAAAGCAAAAATTGCAAGTGTAATGTGGTCTTTTTGATAAATATGTAACACAATGTATGCATATATATACCGTCATTCTACATTTATAAGTTGTTTAAAACAATCAATTGATCAAAGGACTTGACTATCCAGCATCGGAAAACAATTTTTAAGACCCTCTATGGAGTTAATTTCCACCCTGTTCACAAACTAAGTTCATATGGTGTAATAATATTACTTATCTTTCTTTTGCTCATCAACTGACTTGGCTTTCTCATCTTTTTCTGCAGCTTGTTGAGCACGCTGGTAGCGCTTACGTCGATGTTTTGTAACGACGGATACCATTTTGGATGAATCCCACAACCATATTACCTGAAAATATATGACTGATATTACCCCTGGGAATACAACACAATTATCATTGCTGGCAATTACATTCGTCAGTGAATGAGGTTGGACATTCAATTATCAGTCACAAAGTTACTGGACTTTATATAGACCAGTGACCAATCTAGCCAATCAGAGTACAGAAGCTTTAGTACCAATATTGTCATGTACTGTACAAAAGGGTGTTCATAATTTGATTTCTGTACATTAGCAATGCACAATTCAGGTTTATTCAATTCAACACAGATCACTGGCTTTATCAGTTACACATTAATGTTTTAACTTACAATAATAATTAGGCTGTTGAATAAAATTGGCGTTGAAAAAACAACAGATATAAATAACCCAGATGAGTCGAAATACTGTTCACTTGCAAATAATCTGCAATAAAACAAATGGATTGTCACGTTTGGCTCTGTATATGTATGAAAAAATGTATGAAGTAATTGTATGACATCATAGATGTTCACGACATATTAACTTTATTAAGGTGACTCAGAGATGATAAGTCATAACTCATAATTAAGCACCTATTGAGTAATGACCTTTATTTCTAGAATTGATTAAATAGATGTAGTCAAGGGTTGCTTATATACTGTGCATAATAAATTATCGATTTTCTAAAGTAAATAGGGAGTCCAGCTCTTTCAGAGCCGGAAGAAAAGGGGCTCCACACACAAACACCCCTTGTGCCATCTCTACATCTTATCACTTACTTCCAATTCGCTGCAGCCAAAGAGTTTAGTTTTTCCGAGAAAAATACAGACACCACTGTTAAAACAAAACAGGAAGATGATATATTTCACCCCTCAAGGGTCGTGATCATGAAATCATATGAAATGACCAAAAAAGTGGAAATGTCTTACAGAGTATTGCAAATATGACCACCAACACATTGGTTCTGTTTTGGTTTAAAACTATGGTGAGAAATATCAAGACGTGGATGATCATCAATGCAATGAGCCATCTTTGACTCCAGTCAATCTGAAAGAGTTTGATGTAAGATGAGATGAAGATTACAGGTTTACAGCTTGCACTTTATTGACTATTTGACCATGGGAAAACATTTAACTACAGTATTAAAAACTCATTATCTACAGGCAGCAAAAACTAACACTAGATTGGAAGCATATAGAAAAATACACTTTAAAACTACTATAGAAGTCACTAAACTAGATGCGTCTTTATGGTTTGGATAAGTCTTAAAGATAAGTCTTAAAGATAAGTCTTAAAGATAAGTCTTAAAGATTTAAATGCCACAGAATCATGCAAATTCATAACAAAAACACTGTCATAAAGAGGGGTTTCAATATCAAAACACGCCAGGCACAATCGCGGAGGATTACTTACTGCTTTTAAATACTCAAGTACTCCATCGATCTGATCTGTGGCGATCCATTTTGAATGAAATTCAGGCACTATTTGTTCGCCATTTGCCATTATTTTTTGATCTTATACACTTTGAAAGAATGACTTTCTGGATGTGCGGGCAGAGTGTATTAGGGGGGCTTCGGCAGGTGGACAGAAAACTGCGGGTATATACAAAATTACGCCGCGTGATTATTAGGATTACGTCATTACGATTAATCCTAATCAGCCATAAATCTAATCGTAACTCTAAGCTCTAATCCCATCTAACCAAGGTTTTAATTTGTGTATTTAGCTGTATTTAGGATTTCCTGATCATGAAATTGTTACCAGCCACAAGCCACCCTATTGCTCTTTCGTCTCCAGGGTCTTTTTTGTTACTACTTTAGCAGTCGCGCGCCCCACAAGGCTCTGGGGACGGCTATATCAGGATACACTAATATAGTAACAGAAAATTCGGAACTGATAGTTTTAACAACTTAGGAAAAAAAACCACAAAGATAGCACCATTTAATATATTAAGGAAATCTTAATTTATAATATTTATTTTTTAAATAACACATCCCTTTGTAATTTTACTAGTTTGTTTCCTAATTCCTAAATAGAGCCAATCCCAAGTTGACTCAAGTTTCAACAATAAAAATACCCGATAAGAAAAAATTCGTTCTCTTGCCAAAGCAGTTTTTTTCGTGGAATTTTGTGATTGAAAAGTAGAATACTCGAACGAAAATTTACATCTATTTTTGCAGGTAGCCAGAATAATTTACTAAAATGTTACTTCAAGCGAAATGGGGCAGATGTTGAACCCTCAAAGTTGCATTTTCGTCTAAAATAAATGGAAATTTTCGTGCGAATATAACTCTTTTAATCCCGAGAGAGTGAGGAAAAAGCATACGAAGATAGGATTCGCGGACAAACGGACTGGCGAAGTTATGAGAACTCGAGTGGTTCTATTCGTGTGTTTTCGAAATTCGAACGCAAATGCATGTAAAAAATGTTCTAAAATTTGAAATTATCCTAATGCTAAAAACCGTCTAAACATAGCCCATTCAGACATAAATTATAATCAATTATAATAAATCATAGAAGTAGTCCAATCCCTGCCCAATCTCCCAGATCGCGATGCCAACTCCTAGTTCATTCGCCACATTCAGTCTTTCGCTGATTGACTTGAAGAATGAAAGCAAAAATTCATGTAAGTCTAATCATAGTTGCTCGGCCTTCGAGGAATGAGAAAGAGATGACGAGGTCGTCAAGGTGACCAACCATCCCAGTGTTCAATAGTTTTTAGACTGTACCTACCTTTAGTGTTGGATAAAACACGACTCTAGTGATACCACCCGCTCTGAAAAAACGATTAAGGATGTTGAATTTTACAGTATTGTATTCCTAGAGGTCCAGTTAGGATCATCTCTTGTTGATCCAGTGTTACTACAGGAGGAAACCTAAACTAAACTAACTTTATTTATACTGGATAACTTTATCAGTTCTAAACTGTTCTTCCTAGAGGTCCAGTTAGGATCATCTCTTATTGATCCAGTGTTACTACAGGAGGAAACCTAAACTAAACTAACTTTATTTATACTGGATAGCTCTATCAGTTCTAAACTGTTCTTCCTAGAGGTCCAGTAAGGATCATCTCTTATTGATCAAATGTTACTACAGGAAGAAACCTAAACTAATTAAACTAAACTAACGTTAAGGCCATCTGTTATTGATTTACCAAAAGGCCTTCGTTGTCTACATACTTGTAATAAAATGCGTGTTCCCCAATTTCTTTTTCCCAAGTAAACTTGCCGTCAGATTTGTGTTTCGTCAACAGCTCTATGTACCTGGTTGGGAGGAAAAAATGAGACTGAGCCTGGGAAACGAAATTCACCCGATCGAAAAAACAAAGTCAAATGCAAAAAAAGGCGCAACACGAATTATATATATACCTCGTTCCAACGACAGCTAAAGGATAACGAATAATAAAATATAAAAATTAGATACCTTTAAGACGAATTAAGACCATCAATAGCGAGGTTCAGATTTGACTTCCACTACTACTACCGCTACCTTTTGCTGACCTATTCAGCATGTGATTGGTTAATCAGGTAGACTGGTCGCATCTGATTGGTTTATTTCCCATTTAAGGTCTCGGTAGTGGTAGTGGAAGACTGGAAGTCAAATCTAAACCTCGCTAATACTAGTTGCAGGAAGAGCTGTGGTGGAAATCTCTGCTATGAATTTGTTAAAATTTTCCAGTGGTTACCCTCGCGAGTTTTGAAATGTATTCTTTTGACCATCGTTTTCAAAGTGTATCAGTAATGTCCGTTACCTGATCCTCCGCTGGGGGAATAATCCATTCCGTAAAAATTAAGTCCAACGAAAACTTTCTTTCTCTGTTCGTTGGAGTCCGGTGATAAAGCCTTGACACTTTCTCTGACCCACTTAAGAGGAGCATTAGGACCCGCTTGCCTGGGGGGAAAACACGCTGGGTTTTTAGACTGGATAGCTCTATCCTTTCTAAACTGTTCTTCTTAGAGGTCCAGTAAGGATCATCTCTTATTGATCCAGTGTTACTACAGGAGGAAACCTAAACTAAACTAACTTTATTTATACTGGATAGCTCTATCAGTTCTGAACTGTTCTTCCTAGAGGTCCAGTAAGAATCATCTCTTATTGATTCAGTGTTACTACAGGAGGAAACCTAAACTAACTTTATTTATACTGGATAGCTCTATCAGTTCTAAACTGTTCTTCCTAGAGGTCCAGTAAGGATCATCTCTTATTGATCCAGTGTTACTACAGGAGGAAACCTAAACTAAACTAACTTTATTTATACTGGATAACTCTATCAGTTCTCTTATTGATCAAGTGTCTAAAGAAGGAAACATAAACTAAACTGACTTTATATACACTGGATAGTTCTATCAGTTCTAAACTGCAAGGAAACTCACCCTCCATGTGAGGAGTAATCATAAGTCATCAAACTAAATCCATCCACTACCGGATAAAGGAGTTGAAAATCTTCCCTTGAAAATACTCCACGATTTTTGCTGAAAACCCAACACACAAATTCTATCACATGAGTAATATGTCCAGTTTAGTATTTGGATCAGTTAGTTGAACAGGGAAAAGTGAACAAATTCAAATTTTACTCACGCCATATCATTCATGGCCAAGGGTGGAACAACTAGAATTATCCGGAGATCTTCTGAATGTAGAGCGTTGGCTAGCTTGCTTACAAGAAGATATAACTCACTAGAAAAATAACCCCAAATTTTTAGGAAATTCTGGAATGGATCAGTTTTTCATTTGTAGTGCTGTCTGTTTTGAGTTATCAAATCAATTGTAACAACTGTTGACAAGCTTACTGCCGTGAATCACCACGAAACTGCATCCAAACTTCAAGGACAATACCATCAAAGTTATGGGCCTGCATGAAAGGGGAGACGTTATCGGGTGAGTTAGGACAACATATGATGGTAGAAAATTGTTGCATTGAATGTGCACTAGCTGGTTACCTTTATAAAGTTAACAACAGAAGCGACTAAGTCATTCATTGCATTCTCGTTACTGAAGATTGCGTGAAAATCAGACTGACTCCATTTATCAAACAGCAGCCTGGGTACTAGCAATGAGAGATGAATATTTTAGTAGTCATTTCACCTAATCCTCCACTCAATTAGTTAATCAATTCTTTCATTTTCCACATCTTCCATTTCATCCTCTCCTTCCTTCGGTCATATCCTTCAAATTTTCCCTTTCTTCCTTTCATGCCCTTCCTATGTTCCACCTATTCTTTCTCCACTTCTATTCAAACCAATCTACCATTCCACTTCTAACTATGATTATCCCCTCTAATAATTAATCTATATTACTTCATAAACCAAGTCAAACCAATCTCTTACATCCTGACATCTCATTTCAACTATCCCTTCAACTTACCTATTCTTGTGTTATTCCCAGATGATTGAACAGAACTAACCCAATCTGAAATGACACACAATGTTTGTCAACATGTAAACCAACTGAACAAAAGTTCACATAAAATAAAGATGCCTAATATTACAAATCACCTCCGTCAATATCATGCGTTCCCTCAATAACAAAGTTTCCAGATCGTCTGCAAGGAAAGATTCAAAGAAGATGGTTTAGCCTCGTTATATGCAATGTTTGATTAAAATTGTATGAAACTTTATAGTAAAAGTAAACAATATAACAATTATCTACATGCCTTCGTTTTATTTGTAGCCAAACTGGTGAGACATATGAAAATTTCCCAGCAAACATTTTCGCAATGTCATAGCCTTTGTTGTTCCACTGTAAAGGAAGAAACATTGAATCCCATGACAGTAATCAAGCCTCGCAGGGGAAAAGGAAAAGTGCAATGAATGCCAATCCAAAATGGTTCAAAATAATTTCAATCTGAAGTTTGATTGTATAGAAAACCTCACACAATTGCATGAGATCTTCATTGTCTTATTATGTAATTGTAGTCAGGTTCACAGCATATTCTGCAATTGTAGCTTTGGTTGACTTGTTTTAAAGCAGTTCACTTATCAGTTCACTGTAAGTGGTTTGAACTGTCTTTCTCTGCTACAATCCCAACATACAAGAGACTCAATATTAAATCTGGAACCAATAGCTGGCTAAACACTACTCGTCTGAATTCAGAGTAAAAGAAACTTTGTATTGAGTTGGCATACAAGAACTTGAAACAAGAGTTAAGAAACAGCTTGTCAACAGCTTTGAAGCAAACTTGTAACTACTTGTCTACAAACTTGTTACAAGTTTTGTACTTTCAAAGATGAACATATATCTGGGTTTTAACTACTCTGGCAAAATGGGACAATTTTCAGATCTGTTATGGATTAGCTGCTTGGCTAGAACTAAAAATTATGCAAATTGGAGCATAAAGACAAAAAAAATTAGGAACCTAAGTTTTGCGTTTAGACTGTTGGAGCAAAATAACATACGTTGATGGCTCTGGGAATTTATAGATATAAGTTGTTTCACACTTTTCCTAAAGTTTTTTAAAGTTATTTCGTTGCAACCTTGATTAAATATCAAAAGTTGGATTATATAACTTTGATATTATCAATAAACAAAAGTGTTACTAATACGAACTTAATATAATCTTACAGGGGTAACATAAGCCAAGGTGTTTTCAATATTTCTTTGTGCTGTAGTTCGAGTACAATACGCCTCGTAATTCTTCAAGATATCCCTCGGTTTTACTTCTTCTGCAACCAATCCTCGCTCGAAAACCGTCTTGAGGGAAAGCTGCATAGAAGAAATATGTTTTATTTGAAATATTCAACACGACCAGCTGGTTTTCATTGTAGAGTTTGTTGGACGGTGGACACGCAAGGTCCAACATAAGTCCTCGACTTGAAGATACTTGCCTCTTTAGAACCATTTTTCTTGCCCTTTTTCTTCGACGATTTTGAAAGCGTTCCGTCTCCGACAGCAAGTGCATGCAGGAGAATCAACAGCAAGAAAAACACGGAAAAATTCGACATTTTCCGTGCAAGAAACAAGCTTTAAAAGTGCACAATAAGGCATAAAGCTTGTAACTGACTTGGAATAATACATGAACTTTTAACGAAGCGAGCCCACAGTGTAAACAATGTTATCGATTTTGTCATTGTCAATCCTGGTCAGCCGCTGCCGCTTGCGTGACGCGCAATACTTGATATAATTCAAGATACGTGTTCTTTTCTCCCTCGAACAGTTCCACGTTGTCACGCAAACAAAGGGTGTTTCTATAGAGACCATTTAGAAACGTTTAGACCAGTGAGTTACCACATGCGTTAAGGTCTTGTTGATCCAGTGTTACTACAGGAGGAAACCTAAATTAAACTAACTTTATTTACACTGGATAGTTCTATCAGTTCTAAACTGTTCTTCCTAGTTCCTAGAGGTTGGAGTCTGGTGATAAAGCCTTGACACTTTCTCTGACCCACTTAAGAGGAGCATTAGGACCCGCTTGCCTGGGGGAAAACGCTGGTTTTTTATACTGGATAGCTCTATCAGTTCTAAACTGTTCTTCCTAGAGGTCCAGTAAGTATCATCTTTTATTGATCCAGTGTTACTACAGGAGGAAACCTAAACTAAGCTAACTTTATTTATACTGGATAGTTCTATCAGTTTTAAACTGTTCTTCCCAAAGATCCAGTAAGGATCATCTCTTATTGATCCAGTGTTACTACAGGAGGAAACCTAAACTAAACTAACTTTATTTATACTGGATAGCTCTATCAGTTCTAAACTGTTCTTCCTAGAGTTTCAGTAAGGATCATCTCTTTTTGATCCAGTGTTACTACAGGAGGAAATCTAAACTAAACTAGACTAACGTTATTTATACTGGATAAAAGTTTTCCTAGAATTGCAATGTAGGTTTTATTCTGTTCTAACAACTGTTCCTCCTACTAAAAACGTCCAAAATTTTCATTTCAAAAAAGGATGGTAACTTTAGTACTTTACTGTCACATACTCACAGTCGAAGCAGGAAGCACAACCCAACTGCGGTCAGATAAACCACAGTAAACTGACCTTCTTTTGCACGCCATGGTTTCGCGCCTAACTAATCATACACTTGATTGACCCTTAGACATTGAGCAAAGGCAAAACCAAACACTAGATGTAACCCGATCTCATAATCGCGCTTGCAAACAATAATCTTCCGTCTGAAGGCTACAAAGCGTCTCTCGGGGAAGCGTTGAGACAAGCAAGGGGCTTGCAGGCCTTTTTCAAACAAACACGTCGACGTTTCAAGCTCTTTGGCATTTGGAGAAGATCCGCAAACGTCAAAGACTCGCACTTTCCTGCGACGAGTTCATCTAGCAACAAAATCCGGCGAAGGAAATCATCCAAAGAGTCACGACAAATTTACAACAGGTGGGACAGTTTAATCACGGTATTTTTACGCGAACGCAGCATTGAGATGCATTTTTGACCGTTGTTAAAGCTTCGTTACATAACCTCGGTTACAAATCGACGTTTGAAATGCAAATGTTTCTAAATTCGTGACTGTAGGTAGGGTTTCTGCCCCATCATATTATGGGCATCTAAACGGCTTGTTTGTCAAAGAATTTGATGCATTTAAGAATTTGAATATATAATACAAACGAGAGTTGCTATTTGTCAACATTTTGGGATGTCTCAAACTAGGGGCTCTTCAAAATACAAATTTCGCGGTCTCGGAAACAGTTTTCGCGTATGGGAACAATGATACGAGTTCGACAAACAATGCGAAACACATCTGGTTAATAAATCCGTCAATACGGTCCTGAAATTAGACTCAGTCTTTTCGAAACTTTTATTAGATTTTCGTATTTAGGTTAGAAATATTTCGCACCCGAAGCTGTCGAAAAACTGTGGTATATTGCTTCTTTTCTAGGAACATAGCGTACCGGTGAAAAACGTAGAATAGCAATGATTAGCTGAGGAAAAGCAAAAGCTTTCATGTCGTTAGTGACATGCAATAAATATATATTGTATTATTTCTTGATTGACCCGGGAGAAATTGACGTATATTAAGGCGCTCGGGTTTCCTGCTGCTGAAATATTGCGACACTTTTCACTCGGTCTCGCATGCAAAAAACGCTTATTTATTCGATGTTATTCGCGTCAGTACCTTGAAAAAACTTCGCCTATCGCGGGTGCATTTTTACATCCTATCATTCCAGCTAATCGTGGGTGAATTATGGTTACATTATTAGATTAAAACGGTAAATAAACTACGATACTTAATAGGAATAATGAATTCCTTTGGAAGATTAAAAACGATGGGTTCAATTATATGCGGGACTGTTAGTTTATCAAGATTTTCTATTTTTAACGCTTGATTTAACGTGATAACCTATCAATTTCTGGTTTGAATTTTAGCAGGTTCAGCCACACGAAATTTTTGCGTAATCCTAAGAGGAACAATAGATAGCTCGTCTCATACTTTGTCCGCGGGAGGCAAACTGTCTGCTATTTTGACCCGTTAAATTTTGAGATGAATAATCGTGATCAGGATGCACGAAGGACTTTGTCCAGTATTATTAGAGATTATAATTTCTTCCTGTGTTACTAAAAGAAGAAACCTAAAACGGAACTAACTTTATTTATACTGGATAGCAACCATAAGATCTAAGGATCGTCTCTTATTGACCAGTGTTACTACAGGAGGAAACCTAAACTAAACTATAGTTATACTGGATTACTTGATAGCTCTATCAGTTCTAAACTGTTCTTCCTAAAGGTCCAGTAAGGATCATCTCTTATTGATCCAGTGTTACTACAGGAGGAAAGCTAAACTAAACTAACTTTATTTATACTGGATAGCTCTATCAGTTCTAAACTGTTCTTCCTAGAGGTCCAGTAAGAATCCAGTGTTTAGGAGGAAACCGAAAATAAACTAACTTTATTTTCCGCTTTGCCATAAAGGTTTTTATTTATACTGACCACGATCGTGATTAGTTGTCCCGTTGGACAGAAAACTGTTTAGCAGAGTTGCGGCGTTATCGTCAATGCATGAAAAACACCGAAGAGCTGAAATGAAACACGATGTCGACCTCGCCAGCGAGATGTGACAAGCAGAAAGACAGAAAACAAGGGGATATCGAGAACATTGGGGGAAGTAACGAGGAAGTCCTGCCCGCAATGGGAAAATTATCCCTAAACGTCAAAGCTGTTCCGTATATCCCCAAACAAGACGGAGCCTTGCAAAGTCACTTGGGAAATGGATCGAGCGAGGAGTCTGGATCTGATAAGAACGACAGCTCTTCTGCTGATAATGAACAAGTGAGACTTTATATCATTTTTGTATCATTCTAGTTTGTCCGGTTCGCCCAGTTTGTCTATTTTGATTATCGAGTTAATCATGTTTTTGGGTCGAGCTATTTTTTCCGTTTGCCCGTTTTATTTACAAACCGATTTACCCAAACCGATTTATAGCTGACCTGTTTTGGGCGTTTTAAAATTCTTACATCTCGCATATCACTCAGCTACCGCTGGAAAAACAAAACGGCCATGAAACCGAAGAAGAACTGCGGGCGCAGATAGCCAGTTTGAAGCAAAGCTTGAAGCAATACGAGGATATGATTGGTCAATATCAAGTCAGCGAGCAGACGAGAAAGCGCGAGGTGGACTCGGCACTAAATACGGCAAGGGAGGTCGTGGAAAGGGAAAGACGGGAAAAAATGGACGTTCTTTCAGACCGTAAATCAAGAGAAGAACGATTCGAGCAATTAACAAAAGCCATGACTTTGTTACAGGTAATTCAGGCACAGAATCTCATGATGCGCGGCTTCAGGGGCGCCGGAATATCGATAATAACGGGGGCAGATATTCATACATTCGTGTTCGCAGATCGTAAAAACAATCGATTTCAAAAAGAGTTAATAATGCAGAACACGAATATATGAATATCTGCCCCCGTTATTATCGATATTCCGGCGCCCCTGCGCGGCTTTTATGCATAATGTTTCCATTATAGTCGAAAAGAATTTGGTTTTATACCTCGCTTTTTTCAACATTCCTGTACCCGTTAAAAAGCAGCTATTGTCCAAAATTCGCGCTTGTTTCTATTTCGATGCACATCAGAAAATGTTCAGAGAATCCTTTTGTTTAAATTTTGAGTATTCACTCCTGGCGTGCAGTGAAATATTCAAACAACGTTGGCCGTTTATTATTTGCGAACTGAAACATGCGTTGTGGTTGTATATTACTGCAGTTGAACCAAACCACGAAGATAAGAATGAAAGCCGTTTAGAATTGGGGTATGATCATATGGCAAAGTATTTAAAAGTTGTGTAAAAGTCATTTGTAGAACGTGATTGTTCTCAATTTTCCTTGTGTATTGAATTAACAAGGGCAAAGCCGAGATATTTCATGAGTAAATTCTTTCGCAGACGGAAAACGACGAGCTGGTGAAACACAAACGACAACAGGATGAGAAGCTGACAGAATTGGCAAGACTCAAAACTCTCATTCAGGAAAATGGTTTTCCAAATATCGAGCAGTTTATGTTGCTTCAACGCCAGGTAGTAACCGTAGCTACAAACATTTGTTTTTCCTTCTTTAAAACGTGCTATTTCATGATAAACTTGCTTGTAAAACAGCAGGATTTATCACCAAAACAACAATAAAAATGGACGTCTGGATTATCATTTCGCTATTGACACTATTAACACAGAGTTCATCTTCTTCTTTCTAAGATTGATAATGTACGCGATGAGTTCTTCACAGAACGCAAGGAAAGGGAAAGGCTTCAATCACAAAAGGATAAAATGAAACGAGAACACGAAGCAGCTCAATCAAGAATTGCTTCTTTACAAGAACAGGTAATGGATGCATTTATGGGGTTATCCCCATCTTCAGTTCCACATAAGAATAACAGCATCCTCAAGACGGATTCACCCGCAAAAACGTGAAGTGATTTCGCTATTGAACTGAAAAGTCTTATTTGATTGTTCTCGCGTTGTTCAAAACTTGGTGATTTTTTAGAACAACCATCACAAGCCATTGACTGCAAGCTCGGGACACGCTGTATTAACATTTTGATGACTATTTGTTTAAATAGCATTTCTGCAAGTCTTATGAACAACTTTTCATCTTTAAAGATATTGGTAGACGTTGTCTCAACCGATGTATCTTTTTTTTCTGTCGCAGGTCTACAAATATCGCGAGCATATATACTTTCTACAAAACAAGTATAAACAGTCGTCTCCCTTCCGGCCACTTTCCGTTAGCGATTCCAGCAACAGTCGACCAATCAGCGCCAGCGAGGCTTGCAAGTTGTACGGGCCGAATGCAACACAGTACATCAACCATAGTCTCACGTCACCAATGAATCCCGTCAGCCCTAGCGCGCCCACTGGTGATCCAAAGTTTTCAGGCAGAAATGAAAAGAAGCCTTTCAGTGGTGGTCGCCAATGGCAGGTATGGTAGGTTTTGGTATGGTATGGTATGGTATGGTATGGTATGGTATGGTATGGTATGATATGGTATGGTATGGTATGGTATAGTATGGTGTGGTATGGTATGGTATGGTATGGTATGGTATGGTATGGTATGGTATGGTATGGTATGGTATGGTATGGTATGGTATGGTATGGTATGGTATGGTATGGTATGGTATGGTATGGTATGGTATGGTATGGTATGGTATGTATGGTATGGTATGGTATGGTATGGTATGGTATGGTATGGTATGGTATGGTATGGTATGGTATGGTATGGTATGGTATGGTATGGTATGGTATGGTATGGTACGCTACAGAATGGTATGGTATGGTATGGTATGGTATGGTATAGTACTATGTTCATATTGTGATAGCAACCAATTATATATTTGCCCAGGATAGCAGGATGCCACGACCAATGACCGCTGGTGAAGACGGCTGGCGCAGAAACCAACAGCAACAAAGTCGTACCAACAACGGTTACTATAACAACAACATGCACCGTATGACATCATCAAGCAGTGCGCCATCGTTGGCTGGCATGGCGACAGACCAGCCTGACGTGTCATTTTACGACAAGCAGTATGGTAAACCAGGTTTCTCACGCAAATCTCGCTCGTCTCTTACTGAAGATGCAATCAAGGATTATGTGTAAGTATCATTCGCCATATTGTGTTTCCGTTGTAGACATTTTTAGGCAAACACATTCCAGTATAACCCGGTACAGGGGTAGTGTCGCAGCTCCTGGCAAGAATGATTTTCACTGGCTGAACTTTACAATACATTCCTGTTTCAACCAATAGCATAGCTTCGTTCTTTAGAAAGCATAGAAAAGCATTATCCAATTGGACGAAAGCTTCCGAGCAATGCGACATGTCTCCGGGACAGCGTCGTCAAACAACCTTGCTTAAGATGTAACAACTTCACAAATATATCAAATAATCCAAGAGAGGGAACGAGTTTTTCCAAAGCTCATCTTTTATGTCATGTCGATTTCAGAATGCCTCCTGATTGGTCCAAGCAGAACAAACAGATGAAACGTTTCCCTTCCCCGCTGCCAAGTCCCACGTTGCTTCCCTCCCCCGGAACCGAGCTGTGGTCCCCTCAACAACCTCCCGGTTTTCAGAAGGGTTGGCCGGGGGGACAAGATGAAATATTCCGATTTCCGCCCTCGCCTCTGGCGACTCCCACGTCCAAGTCTTCGTTCGATGTCTGGCCCAGTCCTTCGCCTCTCGCCACGGACGATAAGGTGTTCCAGCCTCAGGCCCCTACCAGCACGGCCGACGAGAATAGCCTCTTTCCCATGCCGATTCCAAAAAGTGGCAACACCGGTGATTCGAATTTTGGTCGTTTCCCCCCCGGTCACAACGTGAGCAACGGCAAACTGTTTGTTTGTTATAACTGCGGCATCCATCTTGATGATAACGAGGCCCATAAAAATCACGTTGAAAACTGCGGAATGTAAGTTAGTTTGTTCATGCGAGAACCGTTCTTGTTGGGCGGTGGGGGTTCAAATCTCCACCAGGGGTTCAAGGTCCCCCCCTTTACCCAATCAGGACTCTCACCCAGAGATAATTCTGATAAGTTTTGATTCAAATTTTTTATATATATTTATGCATGTAATGCGATTTGTAAATTGTTGAATTGCGAGTAATTATTCCCAATATAGATCACGTCGTTCTTTTAAAAATGATTTAGAATATACGGTAATTGAAATCCGACTTCAACGTATTTATATAGTATTTGGTTAAACATAAATCTTTAATGACACGCGTACACCCCTTTGTTTTTTTAGTAGGCGTCCCGAAAGAAAGATATCGTAAGACCTTTTTCATAATGACGTCAAACGTGGAAAGTCTGATGTTACACGAAGTTTGATTGGCTCGATAGTTTTGTGGAGCCAATCAAATTTCGTGTCACATCAGACTTTCCGCGTTTGACATCATTATAAGCATTAAGCAAATACAGGGGAAAGGATTCGCGAGTCATAATGATTATGGGTTTAAGCACACACTTTCTGATGTTTGATATAAAAAACATTGATTTTTAAGTGAATTTTAAATAGAAATTATACAATACTTTAGAGTATATATATACGTAGCATAGATGCGTTTACAATATCTTTTTACAATAGGTTTAAATGTTGTGCTATTCGCAGCAAATTATTTTGTCGACAAAAAATCATTTCTCAACTTATTTACATACGAAATCACTATGTTAATAATTTTAAAGTAGGTTATTTATAGCGTGAATGGGATTTTGTAGAATTATTTGGTGAAAACGTCTTCAAACAGATGTGAGTATAATATTAATATATATTGTTCAGCTGGTGTTGTTGGTGCAAACACAACCAATGTATTTAAGAATATTTTATGTAGATTTTAGAGAATTTTATTGTGATATTTGTATAGTTTGCATGAGTAGTTTCTTGTCAAAAGCATATTTAGAAAGCATGATAATTGTTATATTATATATATATGAAAAATAAATTGTTCAAAGCCTTTTAAAGCGTTTCTTTCTATAGCGAATAGGCTTTTAAAACTAGAAGTACTTCCCGATCAAAAATATAACTTTTTGCTGTTGCTGCTCAGTGACAAAAAATCGATAATTTTAGCCGTGTTGTGAAATCTTGATTCTTATCAGATCCAAGCGGACCTGATTCTTACCAAATATCACCTAGAAGTGATTCAACTTCATTTTTTCTGCCAAACGTTAAGCGTACCACTTGAATGACCATTCATCGTCAGTTCTGTATTCATGATAGTTTTCACAAGATCAACAAACACAGTGTATTCTCGTTGTTCGGGATTCAGTGAAAGGTGAATCATGATTGTTCTTACCACATGCAATAAATTTCCATCAGGTAGTTGTCCTGGCCAAACCTTCTTGATTCGTTGTAGAATATCGTGTTCCCTCTTCACGATATCAAGCGCTTTCATCGCGACACAAGCTTCGAGATTTTTAACACAAGAATACCTGCATTCAATCTCGCAAGCCATTTTACCATTTTTGTATTTGAAGAAATCGATGTAAGGAATTACATCCTTATAGATCGCAATTGATTCCAGTGAAGTGTCGTTTTCTCCAAGTTCTTGAGAAAAGTACTTCAAAACCTTTTGTATAACTTGTTTTCTCGCGTTCGATACAAAAGGAAAGATGGTTTGAGCGATGTCCATGATTTTGTCTGAAAATTCTTCGATAATTTCACGCGGACGTGTTTTCTCGTGAATGGACGACAAATGGATGCGAAAATCGATGAATAACTTCGAGATCTTTTCAATTTCCGATATCATTTGATTTGATTTATCAAATCCTGCTCTGTTGACCGGGTTACACATGTACAGTAACACATGAAATTCAGTAATTCCATCGATAATAACATTGTCTTTCAATCGATTCATATTTCTTTTGAAGTTGCAAAAAGTCATTTCAACATTGTCGTATTTTTGGTAAAGAACCGAGGCGACTTTTTCCGGGTTAGTTTTCTGTTGTTCTTTCGCCTTTCGTTCTTCCTCCAATCTTTCATCTTCTTTCTCGTTTTTACGATGCCACGAGAACAAACCGAAGATGGCCAGTAGGGTTTGAACCACTGTGCAAATCAAATAAATCCAATTTGTCGATTTCGTGTCACCCATATGCATTGCCATTTTAGTTGATCCTTTTCAGCCGCAAATGGTTTCTGCATCGTTTAGTTTCACAACAGGTTAACGGCAGGTACAAGTTAAAACCAAGATACTCATCTTATCTATCGACCAAGTTCATAGGAGGATGTCTTGCCTATATTAGGCAAGTTTAAAACTATGGCAACGGTTTTTATATCGGTGATATAGTTCTATCTAGACCGGAGTGTTTACATCAGTTGAAAATATCAAGATGTGTCACTTTTTTTCAGCAGGGAAACCTTCTTTGATGTATTAACTATAATTCTCAACACTTGCAATACATGGATGCAAACAAATAAAAACCTTATTGTTTTCAAATATGAAAGTTCACACTTACATATTCAATGTATGTGTTTGTGACTATTATAATAATTAGTTGAGATTTCATTCCCATTTGTTTATCAAGATATTTCCGTTCGTCTTCTTTGAGATTATTTTTATGTCGAGTATTTTGGCGGGAAAACGTCTAAAACATAAAATCTTTTCAGCACTCCACTTAAAGTCCATTGATTTAGCTTTATTCTTTAGATTATGTTGTGAACTAAGTTTTGAACTGTATTTGGTGGTTGTAAAACAGCAAACGACACAAGAGTTTTATCGAAATATAATGCAGCTATCAACAATCTTATGAATGTCAACGCCATTATCACTGAAATGAATACAAAAGTTGCTTTGATTCAAGTTTCATTTTCTTGTCGACGTACCCCGAGAGTTCTCTTTGGGGTTTGCAAAACCGCCGAAGCGTTTTTAACGTTGAAAATTTAAATAATGTTGCATGATGATGTACCTGAAGGCTGAGTTTTGCATGAACACATTTTACGCGACACTAAAAAAAATATCTTTTCAGTTTCTCTTAATATATAAAAATATATTAAGGATTAGTTCAACATGCAGTATTTGACATGTTTGATGTTTCCAATTCCAATTGGGCGAAATCACACACAATCCAATGGAGATTTTTCGTAATATTTTAATGCATTCTAAATGGATTGGGTTCAGATTAAATTACAGCTAAAATTATTATAGATATATATTAACACATATTAACTCTCATACACTTGTTTCACAATGATACTCACGATTATTCACTAGTCCTGCGCAAGGTGTGTTAACATAACACCTAATCACTAACTCAATCACTTCACATGCATGCAAATCAAAAAAGTTGAATCAAATAGGATCATGCTAAATTAAATTAAACTACGAAATAATTACGTTCAAAGATAATAGACTGTCCGATCAATTTTGAGGATGTTCCGGCTTGCCCACCGTAATTCGGTTCACAGTATTGTTAGAGCCGGGTGACTCCAGTTTCTCGCGTATAAACGTGTTCAGATCATCGCGAAGTTCTTCCAACTTTTCACGAGTGTCTCGCTCACTCAGTAGCCATCTGTAGTCTTCACAAAGGTGTTTTATACTAGTCTGTATATCATCCAATGCACGTTTACAACCACGAATTACTTCAGAGCTTTCAGACATCGTACGCTGGAGAATATTGCCAAAGCAGTTCAGTTAACTAAGTAAACAAACACAAAGTCAAGACACGACCAAATTAGCGACGTGCACCCCATAGCAAACCTACGCTGTAAGTAACAATAGACCGGTATCATCGACACATACAAGACAGCGGTGAACGTTTGTAACGAGATTCGTCATTCTCACGCGTTCTAGCACAGTTTCAGCACAGAATACCTAACAGAAGTAGAACTCCTGTACTTTTTTACTAAATATGCTATTACTATACTAAATATGGGTTCATTTTAGACATTGGCAGGGGGGTGACTACCTCAAAAAAATGCACTTGCTAAGTGACGAATCATGACGAATCACACTTACGAAAAAATAGTATAGAGTTCTACTTCTGTTAGGTATTCTGTGGTTTAAGGATATATCCTTAAATTGTGGTTCTATTACTAATAAACGTAATTCTCGAGCGTAGTTTGCATACGCCATCAGCCAAAACTCGTCAAAGTCACTGCTAAAGCTCCCTACTGCTAAAGCTCCCTACTGCTAAAGCTCCCTACTGCTAAAGCTCCCTACTGTCCCTGGTGCGATAAGACCGAATATTTCAATCTATGATCATTAACCATACTTTTCTTTCTGCAAATTTTGTGGCGGATTTACCGGAAATTATTTCATACAGCTTGCCATTTTATAACAAGCAAACATTATAGTCATAGGTTTCAGTTTGCATTGGCATAACTGAATGTACTTATTGTAAACAATCTGCACGTTCAATCATAAAAAAACCCTATTTTAGTCATAACATACCTTTTAGAGTTTCAGGCAGGCTTTCACTTGCTTAGACGCTTACTCAAGAGCACGCTTGAGAAAAATCAATACGTGGCAAAATCGTAAACACGTCACAAACTGTGACCACGTGAAACAGATTAACAGAAACCGACGACTTATGAGCTTAAGGCCCGTTTCATACGCCGTACTTTACATGTGCCGAATTAAATTGAATTGAGTGCGGCTCAATGTGAATTGGGCACGGCAAGTGATTCATACGGCGTAATTAATTCGGTCGAACTTAATTTATTTGAAATGTTTGCGCGGAAAGGGGTCTGGATATAAGCGATTTGCCCGCGAAGACGCGAAATTCAATTTCACTATGGCGCGTCCTGGAAAAGCTGGATATCTAATGAAAATTTTGACACTGAATGCCAGACGGCGAAGGCAAAAGCTGAAAAACATGTCTTTGCTCTTTATGGCAATGAAAAAAAGGCGTCTGCAAGTTTTACTAAGTCTTTTAGCTTTGATGCAGAATTTTCTGCAACAAAAAGAAATACAGCGTTCCTGTCGACGGCTGAGAAGAAACACCGGATGGTGGCAATTGGTATGGAATGCTTATTCTGACGAAAGATTTAAGCGAACATTTCGGGTATCAAAAGGTACATTTATATTTATATTGAGTCGTATTCGCAATGAGCTTGAACGGGATACTGTCAATGAATGTCCAATATCCCCAGAATGTCGTCTTGGAATTTGCTTGTACCGCTTAGCAAGAGGCGATTATTTTTACACAATATCAGAGATGGCAGGTTTGGGTGTGTCGACGATTCATGGGATAGTTTCAGAAGTATGTAAATCTATTGTGGAAAACCTGTGGACAGAGTTTATATCGAGTATGATGCCTACCGATA